GAGAGAGATGATTTTCAACAGTAATTACTCTGCATGTGCATTTTCCCCACTTGATGATCCTTTAGCTCTCAAACGAACGAGTGGGCGTTCGCAAAGACCCTGGATTTACTCCAAGGAGAAGATTCTTAACATCATGCTGGATATTACAAAATACCATCACATTCAATTTTCCGAGAATGCGATAACAGCTCTGGAAAAAAATACTATTAAACAGATATTTATAATCACTTTGATGGCCATTATTATGCTCTTCTCCATAGCAAAATGGTCAACATTTTTCAATAAATCTCCATGATTGCATGCTCAAGAGGCGGCAGAAATCAATTTTGAAGCGAAACGGTATGCAATATTAAGCAAGGTCCGCAGCAGAATGTGTCACAAAGTCAATGAAACTGTGCGGAGGAGTCTTGGGCGCGCGGGAGAGAGTGGTCAAGGTGAGAAAGAGGCCGACCTTTCCTTCAAACGTCACCATGTCGCCATTCGAGGCAGTGCCTGCAATTCCACAGAACATGTTCACCCTCCTGCACATCATTTCGCTCTGCGGAGTTGTGTGCAAATTAATATTTCAAACGCCACTCCATTGTTTGGGCTGCAAACAGCAAAGTGGACACCGTTTGGCGTGGAGACGCTGTCGTGTGTGCGTAAATTCGCCCACCGGACGTGGCTTTTGGGCTATCCAGAGCTTCAATTTGCATAGATGATAGATTAGGCTTAAAAGCAAGTGAATTAGTCACGCAAGGATTGAAAGCTTTTAAGACGCTGCGCCACAGGTTTCCACCATATTAACACCTAGAGGGGGAATTAAATCCACTTTGGCGAATTTCCCCGTGGACTCCACCTCAATTTATAGAAGCATGTGAGTGCTAGCACATTATAATCACGCGTTTAGACTGTAACGTCACACTCGCTATACCCAATATAATGTATCCCCATTGCAGAGTCTCCATTCGCTATGTAGATAAAGTGCAGGGATTAAATACTTTATACATACAAATTTCACATCGTACAAAATGTCATTGCTCAGGATCAATAATTTACTTACGGTTATACATTAAACATGATGCAAACACGATAAAGGGTGTGTAAATCTCGTGCATTTTATGATGTAATATTCAAAATACTTTAGGAAATACGAAGAGATTTATATTAACAAAATCAAATTAAGTTTCGTGTGCTGCAATTTTATCTGCACACGACAAAAATCCTTCGGAAAGACTCACAAGAGTTAGTTAATTTTGTAAGGGTGAAAACTGATCTTTTTAGAAACAAGGCAACAAAACAAACAATAAAAACCTCTGTCGTATGCAGAAATTCAGTTTCCCAGAACCCATAAAGGTCAATTAGATAAGAGTTCCGACTGTGAATGACTATCTGGATTTTCAAAACAATCAACCATTGATTACAATCTACAAATCAATGTGCTTTCCAGGAATTCACTCCATTTCCAATCAACTATTTTCGGAATGAACTGAATTGTTTGGAGTCTAATGTACTCTTCTATTTTGCTCAATGATGCACTATATTTAAACGAATTGCGCTATTTTCAACCGCTTTCACGAATACTTATATGGCATTTAATATCCTCTTCTACATCAAAAAAAGTTTTCTAATTTGCCTGGACTTTGAAAATACACCCCTGGCTTTTTCCTGTGTGATTTATCCCGCTGTTTCGCAACTCTGTGGTCAAACAATCATTTGCAGCGGTTGTGAAAAAAGTGGGTGGGCAGGTGGACGAAAGGTGATCAAAACTCGTATTGGCATATTTTATTTAATGCAAACGCACTCACGTATTCATCATTTTCATTACGGCGGCAAATCAATTTCGCGCACAACAGCGGGAGTGTATAGAAACAGGAGCAAACTATATACAATTCCATGGTTTGCCAAACTCTGCGGTTGGCTGAATCTGCACAAAATTGCCACGCAAAGTCCAATTGAAATCACTCACGGCGTGCATATTGGAATTAGATTTTGGTCCAGCATATGCAAATGCCGTAAGAAGATCACTCTGAGATTCATTTTTCTTTTATTTGTTTATCTCACTGCCACTCATTTGCCCGCGATTCATACCAAAGTATCCCAGTGCTGGAGAATGGACTGAGGAGTGCGAGATTAGAGATGGAATTACAAGGAAGGAAAGAAGCTCCATGAAAGATTCATTAAAATTTTTCATTTTCTTCTTCGCCGCGATGGTGAGAGCGTCTCAGGCAAGTAAATTGAGGAAATTAAACTTTGGCGGAGGCAAATCAATCTCACAGAGCAATAAATTCCTCTTATCTTTCCCTTTTTGCCTGATTGTGGGTGTGAGAAGGACGTGGATTTCCGATGGATTTGACGCGCTGAGGACATTGATTAGCACTTCAGAGAGTGGACAGTTTTTCACTCACCATTCAATTATGGGCTTTTTGGGGCCACTTTGGCGCAATCAGCGGATCAGATGGTGGGCATTTAGTGGTGCGATTTCGCAAGCGATGCGATGTTGTTTGGATTCCTCTTGCCTTCGCAGCTTCACATTAAAGACACACAGAGATTTTTGCACGGCGGATCACGATAAACAAATACACGCACTCCTCAAGACACTCTCGACTGATTGTCTCGATCAGCCCACGATCATGATGAATGGAATCGCGCGAGAGTCTCTCGAACTCGTTCACCTACTCACTTTTCTGGCAACTGTTGCACCGTGTGTGTATTGCGGACAATTGAGATGCCGAGGAATTTTTTTTTTCTCTCTCTCTCTCGCTCTCTGGCTACAAATCTACCTGTTCGCCCGCGAAAAGTCTGTCGCCAACATCGACAACTGGGCGCAAAAATCCCGACCGCGAACACTGTGCAAAATGCCCCTCAACCGCAAATCACGACAGCTCGATGTGCATATGCAATTTGGAACGGAACACAAAGGAAGGCAAGCAAAAGTATATAAAGTCTCTACGGATGTCCCTGTTCAAACTTGAGCGCGCGCTGGTGTGCAAAAACACGTCTCAACGGGTGAACTGCGGAAAATCAACTGATGCCCGAGAACTGGAGACGGCGCCGCGGAGACACCTCAGGCCCGCCGCGGCCGCGGAGCCCCGAGAGCGCCCAAGAGGCGCTCGGGTGTGAGGATGTGTGGAGGTCAGGAGAGAAGTTGCTGCGCCGACGCACTCTCCTGTTGTGATCCTCGCAGTGTGCAATTCCCAACTCTTCACCGCGTCTCCCGCCATGCCAGGACTCCGCAAACCCTCAAGTCCACCTGCCGCGGATTCCCTCTCTCCCTCCCCCCATGAAGTGGCCTCCCAGGGGTTGATCAGTGGGGCGCTTGAGGGTAAGAAGCGCTTTTGCAACCAGCAAATATGAGCAACACAACTTAATTAGTATAAAGTTCTGTGTAAGTTTTCTTTACGGAATGGAGAAAATTATGCAAAATTGAGAATTTTGCAAGGTAATTTGCTGCAGGATATTTTCTTAAAATATTCTCTTGCTCTTTCTGCACATGTTAGCTACTGATCAGCCCCCAAAGAGTCAACCAATCTCGTTCTGCTCTCACTCTCTCCCGGCGTCTTGAGAGCTCCTGTTGCTGCCAACAGTGGAGCTGTTGGAACAACTGCGAGTGCCCGTGGACACGAAATAATGACAAGACATGGGAGCGAGAGTACAAACATCCTTACGGTGAAATTTCTCCGTCCTCACCTGAGCTCACTCGCACTCACTCCACACTTCCTTCTCGTCTTCAATTAAAGAAGCAATTTTCTAATCTCACACTCTCTCATTCTTCAACTCCGCGACGCCGTGACATAATGGAACATGTGCGGAAAACGGGGCGAAACAGGGTGGCTCGAGGAAAATCAAGTGGAATGGCGTATGAAATAAAAACATTCCCACGCCGCGAAATCGTCTGCTAAATATAAGAGGATTCCTTCCTTTCGGCGAGAATATTTTTTTTATCCACCGCCACATTTTCAGCCAAAATCGTTTATTTATGCACTTCGTGAGAGTTGGCGAAGAAAATTTCGCTTCACGTCTAATGCTTCCAACTTAAGAAAAGAAAAGGAGAAGAAATGACAGTATATTAGACACGCGAGTAGAGCTTAAAAGCTCCTCCCTGCATATTTATATTGGACAAAAATATGATAATCCTTGAATATTTTCCCTAATTATCCCACAAAATTGCTCGTTGACGGAGAAGGGAGAGAGAGAAAAAAAATGTGATGAAAAGTTAAAGATGATTACGGTCGACAAAGACGATGTGTCGCGCGCTGCTGGAATAAACACGAGGCGAAGGCGAGACGAGAGATGTAGAACGATGTGGAGGCATTAAGGTTGAGAGAAACACATAACTTTCAACCACAAAACAACCCCCAAATTAGTGTTCTCGGCGGCGACGAATCATGCGGTCGCAGCCGGAAAGTGGAGCTTACGGCATATCAACAAATTCAGTGACGTATCTCTAATTAAACAAATTAATTAGCCGCAAAATTGTCATCATCTTATGGCGCCAGCATCCATTTACAGCGAAATCGTGAGCAATAAGCACATAAATGACGCCCGTCTTCATGAAAAGGACTCGCGAGTCTCTCCACTCCGCCAATGAGGTCATCAAACATCACGACAGCACTCTTGAGGGATTTTCTATCTCTTGTCAGCGCTTCAGGCGAGGACTCGACGAGTGAGATGCTGACAAGAGAGGAGGAGAAGTAGATTTCCTTGTCGCTCTTGCTATTTTTCGCCACTATTTGGCAATTGCGGCAATTGCATAAAGGCAAATAATCATGATATTGTGCCTTTATTTTACAGCAGAATCCTTCATTCTCCGTGAATTATAAATATAAAACTATTCCCACATCCAATTCAATGGTTCTTATAGATTCATTTGACAATCCAAATCATCTTAATTTGAGATATATTATCAGCTGTTATTAGAAGCTCTTTTCAAACATAAACGCCCACCTTAGCGAAGACACTTTAGCAACAGCACCGAAAGTGTGGGCATTAATATCACGCTCGCAGCGCTGCCATGTATTATGCGGTGGAAAACGTAGTCAGTAGTGACATTCTGAAATCATGAAGATGGCCGACGGAGGAATGGTGCTTCGTAGAAATAGGCCAGGAACCAAAGCAAAAGTGAGTTTATCATGACAAAATCATCTGGAAAATCCTCCCTGATAGCCAACGAAAGCATTGGCGCTGAAATAACACGCAAATGTATTGCGTAACGCATGAAAATCGATAGTGAAATCACACCTGTCAACCAATGAAATCGCTTCGGGGCATTGATGGAAAATTTTCCCATTTGCAGGACTTCTGCAGTTGGCCTGATGAGTCCTTCGAAGAGATGGACACCCTCGCGGTGCAGCAATACATTCAGCAGATGATCAAGAATGACCCATCGGATATCGATCTGATACTGAAGATGCCCGAGGCGCAGGACGAGGGAGTGTGGAAGTACGAGCATCTGCGGTGAGTCTCTGGCCTCCGGACGGGCATTCACGGTGGGTAGCTGAAGACTGACGGGCGTGCGTTTGCTTTTGCAGGCAATTCTGCATGGAACTGAATGGACTGGCGGTGCGACTGCAGACTCAGTGCTTTCCGGACACTTGCAACCAAATGATCGCCACGGAGCAGTGGATCTTTCTCTGTGCTGCCCACAAAACGCCCAAAGAGTGCCCGGCCATCGACTATACGCGCCACACTCTTGACGGTGCCGCTTGTCTTCTCAACAGCAACAAATACTTTCCTAGCAGGTGAGAATTCTCCCCAACAATCTCATGATAATTCCACTGATTGACACTGGATTCACTTCATTCATCTTCCAGGGTGTCTATAAAGGAATCTTCTGTGGCAAAGTTGGGATCAGTTTGTCGTAGAGTCTATCGTATTTTCTCTCACGCTTATTTTCACCACCGAAGAATATTCGATGAGTTTGAGATTGAGACGTTCTTGTGTCACCGTTTCACACTCTTTGTCACAAAATACAATCTCATGTCCAAGGAGAACCTCATCGTACCAATTGCAGAGGCCAACATCAATCCGGGTGAGAGTGAGGCATAAGTTATTCCTCCCAATCAATTATCATTTTATCACGAGAGGGAGAAAGAGAGAGAGAGAGAGAAGAGAGAAATACTTTCCTCCCCTAAAACTTGGGAGTCACATCTTTCCTGATGTCACAGAAGAAAAAGAAAGAAAAAAAAACAGTCAGGGATGTTTCTTATACATGTAATGATTCCTCACGGGAGAAGAAACTATTCTCTACGACAAATTTACCTTAAATTCTATTGTGTTTCCCCGTTTATACTTTCTCTATACAATAAAATTAGTAAACTCATTTTACACACTTAGCGCGTACCAGTTTGTATTGAATGGTGTCTATTAGTGATGAAGAGGCAAAAAAAGAGAAGAATCTGTCGAGAAATGATGTATTTTTTCTTCTTCTTTGAGAAATGCTCTGTAATTTCTAGATAATTTTGATTTTTTTTTCCTTGTAGTTTGTATTTGTAATAATGAAAAGTACTCAAAATAACAAATTTAACTCTATGAAATAAGTTTTATATGACAAAAAAAGATTTTCACGAATGCAGTATCAAACAAAAAAGAAAAAAACATTTAAACGGTATTTTAAACAAACAAAAAGAAAAAGAGGCAAAAATTTTCCAACTATATTGGTTCAACATATATTTTGTCGCGCAAAATTATAAGGAGAGGAGAAAGGAGAGAAACAAATTAAGAATATTATATTAATAATTAGGCAAATTCAAATTTAAACTCGAGAATGAATACGTGGAGCTTTGTTAAGAGCCAAAAGTCCTTCGAAAGGAAGCTGGAGAGAACTCTAACCAAGTCATATTCCAATATATGTTTGTATTCTATTGTGCTATATCTCAAATTGTAATGAATAGTCTCGGATGAAGAACCGCACTTGTACATGCATTTTTATTTTTATTTATTCCACACTCCTATAATTCTATTGAGTTGCAGAACAAGGGAGATAATAAATGGATATAAAAAGGAAATAATTCACAATAATTGTATACAGAGACAAAAAAGAGAGAAAAAAAACAGAAAAAGTCTATCATTTGACCAGAAAATCTATGGAAATATCGCGAATATTTATGCATTGTAGTGATGGAGGCAATTGAATAAGTCAGAGTATGATAAGAATGTATTCTAGAAGACTTGTTATGTTGTAGATATGTGACTTCAAGGACCGCAAGAAGAGGTTTTACCATCCTTTGACAATGTTTTTGAAGCCAATAAAAGAAATATCATGAAGGATATAATATTTTGTCTGTATATACGTGAAATTTTGTAATATTTGTTCCCTGTTTTTCCGCGGAAAATAGCATTCATTCCACTGCCACTGAAGCCCCAGAAAAGTCTCCGGCCTTTGTGCTCAGTTCCACGTCAAGAGTACAAAAAGAAATAAGAATGTGTGTGGAAAGTAAATCTAATTCTTGTGCTTACTTTTTCACCCTTTTATTCCGCACTTTCACCGCATTCCTGGACTTTCCGGCGCTTTGCAAATCGTCCGTGACTCGATGCTTCTGAACTTTGCTCGCCACTTTTGCGAGCACTCAGCCAAAAAGCTGTTCCACCTTCGGAGCTTTGATATCTGCCAAAGAAGTGTTGTCTTAATGTGGATTAAACAACTCTAATTTCCCCGCAAATGTTGCAAATTCATGCATCAAAGTCATTTTTTCATCTCCAGGGATATTTTAGAATTACGCATTTCTTGAGGATTTCACTCAATTTATTGAGCAGTGGAGCAAAAGGAAAGGAATTCATGGACCCTCAGAGGACACACGCGACGAAAGGCGGTATATTTTCAATGATTGAGGAATTCAGAGGCAGGAGAAATGATGTTCACTCACCCCGGCGTCAAAGGGTCGATTTTCTCCAGCGATTGAAGAATGCGAATGCTTGGAATGTCGGAAGTTTTTCCCTCGCTGGCGATTTCTTGACTGACTTCCGTGACTTGATGCACCTGAAATTCCCTCCTGAGACTCTCAGCACACGAAATTGTCCTCGTGATTGCTTGTCCACTTCCTGTCCACACGATTCTCCTGTGTTCGCCACTCTGCAGAGCTTTCCGCGCAAATTTCAGCATATTCTCAACTTTCGTGCCACTCTTCACAGTCATTGTGAGAACTTCATCTGTTGCTTTCTCCACCGTCAATTGCGCCACCTCGTCAACATTGTTGTCTTTCTTGTTGCGCTGTCGCTTCTTGTTCTTCCCCATGCTTGCGGTGTGTGTTCTGCAACAAAATAGTGAATTTATGAAGGAGTTAATATTGCTAGTGCCTTCAATTCGTCACTGCGTGAAATTTGTGCGAGTCAATGAAGTGATAAAAAGGAGCATCATCATTCGATGACATCCCTTCGATGGAATTTCAATGGCATCTCTGGCCTGAATTCCTTCCATCACCATCCCTCGCACATTGTTCTCTCGAAGAGCTCTGCAGCGACTTCGCCATTTATTGAACAGCAGCCACAGATGAGACAGAAGTCTGTGTGGGTGTTCGAGTTGAGAGAAGAAAAGCCAGGAAGCATTTGTTCTGAATAAGATTTCCAAAATGTATGACTGAATAATCTCAGTATTCTGAGACATTATATTAATTTGTTCTTCTCAGTGCAAACGGAATTGTCTCATCTCTTCTTCAGAAGGAAATTTGGTGGTGAGAAAGAAACACAAACCATTCATTTATGCATTTATATAAACCCTTTTAATATGCTGTTGAAGTTAAGAACACGAAAAGCAGTCAATTTCCTCTTGAGTTCTCAATCTAATTCTTTGTCGAAGGACTACTCAAAAGGATGAATAACGTCTATCTTATTAGGGATAATTGAAAAATCAAATAATCACCCGAACTTGGTGAATTTCGCGTGAAAAATTTGATATTCAGCAAACGAACATCCTCATCACGTTTATCATTTGCCACAATATTCGTGGATATTCCTCCTCCTCCTCCTCCCTCGCCCAGAGACGTCTCTTCCCCTAATGCGATTTCGCGAGCAGTTAGAAGGAGTCACCCTATGGCATGGATATTCATTCAAGAATTCTATGGGTGGTTGCGGGAGGTTTTTCCTCAGATTCCCCGCCCGCCACGTGGAAATTGCTAAGACGTCTTGGACGTGTGTGGCTGTCTCTTTTTCTCAAGGGCTTGCGAGGGTGGGCTGGTGCGGGTAAATGCCGAATAATCGTCGCCAGCGGAATCCTAATGATTTCATCTATAGAGCATCATGCTGTGGAATTCAACTTGGTGCGATGGCGTCACCAACTCTCCGGCTGCCCAGCCAATCCCTTTGCTCAGGCCCACCGATCAATGTGGAGTTCACCCCCGAGCAAAGTGGTAGTTTTCTGTCGTCGCCTCAGTTGCGGTTCAGAGGTCGAACGGTTGAGTCTCACCCACCAGTTCCGTCAACTGATCAATTTGCGAGCAAGTCTTTCAATTCCCTCCCCCCAAAGAGACAGTGGACTTTTCTCTCAGTTTCCTCGCCAAGAGTTCTCCCGTGAAATCCATCGAAAAATCCCTGCGGATAAAAGTGTGTGACGAATCACAAATCATCACTTGATTGAAATTGCTGAAGGTACAGAAAAGAGTTGTCTGATATATATTTTGTGTCTATTCTACTGGAAATTGCTTAGGATATTATGTATTTTTTTTTTATCACTATTTGTGTGGATTAAGCAGTGAAATACAGCAGCAAGTTTGCGCGTTGCTGTGGCGAGAAATCCAATTAGTCAAATAAAATTAGAATAAGAATTACATCATTTCAAAAGTCACTTCTCGCGCCCATCCTATCAACCTCTTATCGTGACCTTACAATTAAAATGCCAACGCGAAAAGGAGTGCGAAAAACCTCCTCCGGAGGCTGCTCGAGAATGACCCTAAATTGCCCACAAAATGACTTTGGCACGAAGGATGGCTCTATCCTGCTTGAGGAAAGGGGGGGGTAATTTGTGATTAAAGTGGATCAAATTAGTGGCTGGCTTTTAATATCATTGCTTGCAAATTGTTTTCTCACCACCGCAAATGGAGGAAAATCTCTCAGACGTCATTTCTGCTCATCTCCTCAACACGTACATATTTTATCATTTAAATTTCTACCCGAAAGGATGATCGCACAAGAATTGCGTGCAAAAGAATGTCACACTCTTTGTGGGCCTCAGAATTAGGTGAAGTTCAACAAGTTTGACTTGACATTCAATTCATTCTTTTATTTTTCTTTTTCCAAGAAATCAGATTACAGAAATAAGGCAGATTATGAAAAATTAATTAATTCCGCACCCTTCAATACACTTTTTCCGACGATGGAGACGCGAAGAAAGAATTCTATGGCTATCTTTCAAGAAATTTCTAATTAATTTCCAAACGGAAATATGAATGGGATTTTTTTTTCTCTCTCTCTCTGATTCACCCTCGTTATTTATCACTTACATTATTTCCCAATTTTTCACTGACATCGTCAAACAAAGGCACCATCACATAACTGGTAATTTCACTCGACAAAATCCACCCACAAGGTAATATTCTGATAGATTGTGGAGCGATGGGGAAAAAAAGCGTCTCTGACTTCATCAATATCTCGAAAGTAATGAAATTACTATTGTGTAAGTAAAATTGTGCCAACGTATGGAAAAGACAGCTTCAAGTGCTGATCGATTTCCTCACAATTTCTCCCTTCCTCATCAATTGGCATTCGCAAGTCTTGAGCGCGAGTGTGAAATGCAGCAGAAAAGTTCATTTAGTGCCAACACCCACACGAAAAGCTCCAGTGAAAATTGAGCCAACTGAATTGAAATCGCGATTCGCGCATCTGCCCTTGAGTGAGAGATGATGAATAGGAAAAATGGCTCCGGATAATTTTGTAGGGTGGAAAATGTTTGAATCTCCTTCGGGGAAAATGTTACAGAATAACTATAAAATGGGCGAGAAATCTCAATGCGACAGTATCGAAAGAAAGAAACCCGCAAATTTCATCAGATTCTTCAGGACATTCTCTATATTATTCTTTTTATCAATTCTCCCTCAAACGCAAAAAAAAACAAGAAACCACGAAAGGTGAATAGAACTCGTCTTCAACCATTCATACCGTCAATGAACTGTCCGTTTTTTCTTCTAAATTTAACAATGATTTATACGCACATTCAGAGAAACTTTCCACACTGAAATCGCCTCCGGAAATGATACAATATTTCAGTACATATTGGCTATTTTTTCATACCTCCTCTCACATCCTGTGTTTGTCCATCTTGTTATTGTTCTCCCAAAAACTGAAGACTCTTAACATCGCACGAAGCAGAATTGTTTTCTGGGGGGGGGGGGGGGAGAATTTATAGTGTATATTTGTGGGTGATCAAATATCTGTTTTCTATCGTTAAATTTAGGCAATTCCCGAAACTAGGACACAAAGTGAGAACAATTGCTTGAAATCAACCTTTGAGATTGCAAAAGGAAACATAAAATTGCGTGATTTACTCAGTATTTACTAGTAGTTGCTTACAATTAGCAAAATCAGTAAATATTGTGAATTAGGGTCGTCGCACTGCTTCTAACTTCCGTGAACCATTTTTAGTCTTCACGTCTGTTTAAGGATATTCCCGTATTTATGTCTGAACATTATCGAATTGGTTCTTTTTGTCGTTTAGAATACTGCGTGAATTGGAGGAATAAACTCATAATTTTGCCCAAAACCATTGAGAAAGAGCCAGAAAAATGAATTGCGAGGAGTTCAGGAAGAGAGGAATGGAAATGGTGGAGTACATTTGCAAATATTTAGAGACCCTTGAGGACCGTCGAGTCACTCCGAGTGTTGAGCCTGGATACTTGAAGAATTTACTTCCAGGTGAGTTCTTCTATTTGCATATTAAAGCTCCACAATCGCTGAACAATCTGTGAAATGTATATAGATGAAGCGCCAATGTATCCTGAGCCTTGGGATCAAGTGATGGACGATGTGGAGAAGAAAATCATGCCGGGCGTGACTCATTGGCAGCATCCGCACTTTCATGCGTATTTCCCATCGGGAAACTCCTTCGCCTCCATTCTGGGCGACATGCTGAGCGATGCCATTGGATGCATTGGATTCTCCTGGGCAGCCAGTCCGGCGTGCACGGAATTGGAGACAATTGTGCTGGATTGGTTTGGCAAGGCGCTGGGATTGCCGGATTTCTTCCTGGGTCTCAAGCCAGGCAGCAAAGGTGGCGGAGTGATTCAGTCATCAGCGTCAGAGTGTGTTCTCGTGACAATGATTGCGGCGCGTGCACAAGCGATTAAGCAGCTGAAGAGGCAGCATCCCTTCGTGGAAGAGGGACACCTCTTGACCAAATTGATGGCATACTGCTCGAAAGAGGCGCACAGTTGTGTGGAAAAGGCAGCAATGATATCATTTGTGAAGCTGCGAATTCTCGAGCCAGACTCCAAATGCAGCCTACGCGGAGAGACACTGTCTAGGGTAAGGAGATACCTTAACATATGTACACACATCTTATTTGGGCCACTTTGGCCAAAACACCCAAAATACGCGGAGGTGTGTAAACAATTGACCAGTCAGGAGTTCTCTCTCGAAGTGTATAGAGAAACAGATGTCTTCTTATTAGGAGAATTTTGCTCAAATTGTAAAAATAACTCAACTTGTTTATCTCACATTGAACAACTTCTCATGCCACAATAGCAAATTTTCAATTGCGCCACATACAAAAGATATCCAAAATTCCTTATCCCAAATGCATTAATATTTCTTCTGAGAATTGTGTCCATTAATTTTTATTTTTTCTGAGATTCTTATGAAAAATTCCCCCCAAAAACTCAATGCTATAATTAAGAAATATTCTCAAAGGCAATGGAAGAGGATGAAGCAAGTGGACTTGTGCCGTTCTTCGTCTCCACCACACTTGGGACAACAGGAAGTTGTGCTTTTGACAATCTGGAGGAAATTGGGAGCGTCTTGCAACATCATCCGGGAGTTTGGCTACACGTTGACGGAGCTTATGGAGGAAGTTCCTTCATTTGTCCAGAATTGAGGGATGTTATGAAGGTATTTTTTGGCTAAAATGTCTTCAAAACACTCGCACTAATGCTCTCAATGACATTCTTAGGGCATTGAAAATGCTGACTCCTTCAACACGAATCCCAATAAATGGCTTCTCACGAGCTTTGATTGCTCAACTCTATGGGTTCGTGATCGCATCCGCTTGACATCTGCTCTTGTGGTTTGTATTTCTCATATCTCAATCAAAAGTCTTTGATTTCCCATTCGAAAAATAACATGTCAATTCTTCAGGTTGATCCATTGTATCTTAAACATGGCTATATGGATGCTGCCATTGATTATCGTCATTGGGGTGTTCCGCTGAGTCGACGTTTTCGCTCTCTCAAGCTCTGGTAAATTCACAAAATCCAGATGACTTTGCAAATGATTGAAGATCATATTTTTTTCGCTCCCCTCCTTCAGGTTTGTTCTGCGCAATTATGGCATTTCGGGACTTCAGGCGTACATAAGACGCCATATAAAACTTGCCAAGCGCTTCGAACAATTGGTGTTGAGTGATAGAAGATTTGAAATCTGCAACGAAGTCAAGGTGAGATGAAGAAGAACAGCCAAAAGAATGTTTGATGATTTCAACTTGTGTGTTTTCAGCTCGGATTGGTGTGCTTCCGCCTCAAAGGGACTGATAAAATCAATGAGAAGCTGCTGAGCGCTCTCAATGCGTCTGGAAAATTGCACATGGTTCCAGCATATGTGAATGACAAGTACACCATCAGATTTGCTGTCAATGCAGAGAATTCAGTCGAAGATGACATTGGTGAGTTTGTACTAAAGATCTTCAGACATTATTTGTGTGAATTCTGAGAATATTCACAAATTGGAATTTCAACCCATTTTTTTTCTCTCCCACTTTCCAGACTTCGCTTGGGAGGTGATTACTGACATTTCGTCTGAAATTCTCGAGAAGGTATGCAGTAGAATCACAATAATAATAATAATAATTATGAGAAAAGATGTTATATTTACACATTCAATTCTGTTTGGAGTGAGAAAGAAAGTATCTGCTCTTCGCCAATGTGTAGAAAAATATACGGCAACGGAAAATTTGTTTACTGTACTGAAGTGAGAAAATATTAACTTGAATCATTTTCATTCATAACAGGATCAAGCAGATGAACTCACAGAGATTTTGGATCGCAAGAAGAAGGAAACACTCGCCCAGAAACGGTCATTCTTCGTCCGAATGGTCAGTGATCCGAAAATATACAATCCGGCTATTAATAAGGCGGCCACGCCAAGAATATCTACCGAAGCCATGTCTCCGACAATCCCTGGAGCACCAATGATTCAGACACCCACAAAGTAAGTGTAAATTTTGGGTGTTAAGGTGGAATTTTAATGGTTGGAAAAAGCTCTGTTATGCATGTCTATTTATATCGCGACGCTTTTCGTGGAATGTGTAGAATTTCATACGTTAAACTTTTCCTTCCCTCTTTCCACAAAAACATACACTTTGTCTCAACGCACATCTTTTTTTGGACACACGCGTGGCAGCAATGCTTCGTCATGGATCAGCTGGCCATTAGCATTTCTCTTTGCATCATCCGACGATGGACCACGCTTGAGGTATAATGACTAATGTTGTTGACATGGTAATTTAAGACCAAATTCTCAGTTTGTGCCATTTGTTTCGCGTTTGAAGATTCCGTCACCTGGACACAACTGTCGGTCTGCCGAACTCGCGTCGCAACTCAGCAACTGGCGGCGGCTCCTCGCCATCGCCTGAGAATGAGCTCTGCATCAGCACAACGCGCTCACCAAAGAGATCACCAATTCTCATGCGGAAGAACAAGAGTTCCACCACAAGGAATGGTTTGGACTAAATATGCCCAAAAGAAGCACAAAATTCTACTCAACAGTATAAGAAAAATCTTCAGTATCACGAGATTGTCAACAAGTAACAATAATTCCAAATGATAATTCAATGGAGAGATTAGCTACAATAATAGTTTAAATGCCCCCCCTTTAAAAATTATAGAGACTTTAATCAGAATTAGATTTCAAATTGTGGCAGTATAAAAGCATACAAAATGTTAGAGAAGATCAGCATTTTTTTGATTCCTTCTTCTGGCTCTTCTTCCCACACTTGTGGGAAAGTAATAAAAAAAAATGAGCACACTTAGGCAAAAACATTGTACTTATCGTTCATGACAAAATGATTAGCATGAGTAAAAGAATAAATATCATATACCATAAAAGAGTGTAAACAAGAGATTTGCAAATAGATCTGCAGTCGCCAAGCGGGGAAGAAATTTGGGAATTCCCACCCAAGAAGTTCACGCCGCAAGGAAATGACTTCTTCTTATTCATCGCACCATTCCTCCACACCTGGGCGGCCGCCGGTGTGAGATTAATCATCCGGGAATGACGACATCCGGAGTCTGGCTCGGTCAAAGTACCACCATTTGGAGATTACTGTGTCTAATTCTTCTGCGAAAAGCCGCCGAGCAGCATGGCCGAGAACTTGATTTCCTGCTGCCAAGTTTGTTCAAGAGCTCAACACGATATTTCAGCACAAAGTGACGCAATATCGCAATTCCTTTAATGCGAGACTCTCCATCAACTGACGGCAACCACGTGCTCACAGAGATTTTTTACGCACATTTCATTCATAATCTGCTACTATTGGCGGAGAGTGAAAAATCCGGATTCAATGAAACCTTCAATTGAGTGTTTTGGCAAAAAAAAACTATCTTTCTCAAACTATTGTCGCAAATGATGAAATTGTAGTTTTTCTCCTGAGATTTTTGACGAAAAAAAATTGTCCAATTTATCCAATCATTCTGAGTCAATATTGGATTATAAACTTGAGTTTATTTGTGAAAAACTAACCTTTGATTGCTCTTCAAAAGAACCACGCAAAAACTCCAAAGAGCTTAACTCATCAGAGCTTGAGTTAAAAAGCTCAGAGTTTGGCAGAGTTAACTGATAAAGGTAGTCAAGAAATTCCTCATCGTTGATTGCCTGCATGACACTTGAAAAAAGACCACATTTTCCAATGTGGGAAGCCCCCGAAGCTCTGAATTGCTATCTGTGGAAGATTCTTATCAAGCAATATTACTTTATTTATCCGACTGCAATAGCGTGATATTTTGTCGTCACTATTTGTTGGCTGTTTAGCATGTTGTTAATGATAAAAGGTGTGCGCGACTTGCAATGGCATAATTGTTGAGTCAGCTGAACTTGCGAATGATGTCACTTGAGTCACACGCAAAGGGCTTCCTTTTTTCCCACTGCAAGCAGTGAAAGCGTTTCAATCGATTTTCCAGGTGAAATCCCATCGCTGACAATTAATAAAAATGAATCAATACTGTGAAATTCTCCCGACGATCACACAGGTCAATTTGCTATGTGATTACGCCACTTCCATTCGCCGATGCGGTGCTTCCTCAACAGCTGACAAATTGCTCAACGGCGACGCTTTTCTTTAAACGAGGGCTCTCTGTAATTGTTTTGCCGCGCAGTGTTTGAAACATTTGGAGGAGATAAAAGAATTTTGACCTAATTTCACTGCAATGTTTTCTATTTTCAGCACTTGTGAGAAGTCACTGAGCATTTTTCGCATAAACATTTCAATCAGATTTCACGGGGTTTTGCCCGTTGTCGATTAGGAAAAGCCACCTTTGAGAAGTCTGTTAAGTCCACCTGCACCATGCAAATGATGCCAATGTGCGAATTATTAAGTAAACTCCCCGCGGTGATCATTTAAAATATCAGAGTTTCTTCTTTTCCTCGTCAATTGCTCATGTCATGAATCCCCATGAATCGCTAAATGTGCTGTTTGTTTGACACTCGTGATCATCATTGTGTTACAAAAGGCAAAATCTAACATGGTTTTGCCTTAGGATGATCTTTGCGTGCTCATGTTGGACGAAGAAGTCTTCTTCTTGTGTGTGTGTCCATTTTTGGTCACTTCCTACAGTCTTTGCAGTGAAATTTCCCCAAGTCGAGAAGGAATCGAAAATTTTTCGCAATAGCTTCAAAATAAATTCTTCCTCGTTGCTGTGCGTGACGTCATAGTGAGGTAATTTCTCAATGAACTCTTTAATTGATCCAAAGGCGGAACCCGAATCAATGGTTTTTGTATTCGTACAATCAAAAATTCTCATTGAACAAGAACATGACTTGATATTGGGCAGAAAAATTTCCCCGAAATACAATTATCTATCCTCTTTCAGAAGAATACGTTTTGTATTCCTTGACTTATCTGTATTATTCATCGGCAATAAGAAGAAATCTAGTAAGACAGTTGCAATAAAATTTCATTCAAATCAAATGATTCTTAAATGCCAGACTCACCAATTAAAATTCCCATCTGAAAACATCATTTTCGTAGAATTTTGGTCTCAAAACTTAATCAGATCGAGAAAATCTATATTCAACAGACTCAATTGTGATCGAAAAGAAGACTTGTTTCACCCAAGCGAGTTCACAAACTGAACATAATCAATTTCTGTGGTACTTTTCTAACCCGGATGGATTAAATGTGACAAAAAAGTTGACTTGTACTCTAAAAATAACACATGCAAATGTATTTCTATGACGACAAAGAATGTCTTTAACTAATTTTGGATTAATAAATTCCGATCTCAATTGAGAGATTATATTTCTCCTTCCCGCTGTGCAAATTGGTGAATCAAATGGAGAAAAAAGCGTCTCGAAATCCATACACACCTCCAATAAAAAGTGCTGTAGTTTCAAGCATTCACCTTATAAATTACTCCAAAGACAGGGTTTGGTGGACTTGAGAAGAAAAAACCCAAATGTAAATAATAAACATTCCACACTGAATTCGTCACAAGAACTTCTACTCCTTTTCAGCCTAAGATCGCACATTGATGTGGGGAAGAGAATGATAATTATTGAATTTTGCCGACAATTGCTGTCAATTCCACGAACTGATGATGATGTGGGATGAAAAGTGGCGTTTGAGCCGTGAAGAGATTACAATTGGAAATACCGCGAGTGAAGAAATTTCCCCAACACTCTCAATGTTCTAATTTTGTCTGTGCAGATCAAAAAGAATATCTCGCGTAATCAGGAATCTTCTCATTGTACAACTAAAATTACGTCGTGATCATCATTCATTCACACACAATCTGTAAATATGTGGCGTGTGACAGGGAAGAAAAAAGGCCAGAAATCACAAGATCATCACTTACAAACATCCTGCTGCCCATAAAAACGTATGTGACAAAAATGTACCCACACGATAGAAAGTGAAGACAACTCTTTTTGGACACTCAATAATTTGTCACGCAAATTATTTCACATGTTTTAGATATATTTCACACTCAGAAATTTACGTAAAATCATGGTTTTTTTTCACTTTGTACTTCAACGCAAAAAAATTTGATTGCAATTTGTTCCATTGCTATTAAGTCGACGCGAAACTATCCAATATTTACCCACAAATTACTCACGAACAATCATTAAAAACAAAAAAGCCAATTGACCAAATCCTACAACTTCCCCAAATATCATCTATTTAGCAAAGAACATTACATAAAAAATACCGGAACGAATGGCCATAATGTTAATGGAAGTTTTTCGTCCAGTTTATGTTGCTGAAGATTATTTCCAGAAAAAAAACACACACAAAGAACTATAAAATTTTTTTATATATTTGTGCATAATTGCGTCACTGAACCATCTTCAGTTTTCTGATGATTGCACAGACAGCAAATCAGTTGACGCTTATCGAAATTCTCAACATTTTTTCCACATTATGTTCACCCTCGATTTATAAGACTTATTTGCAATATGATAGTCACACCTGTAAAACTAATTTTGATATCACAAAGCCCAAAATAGGAAAATCACGTTATATTTCTACAATTTCTACCCAACAATCACATATTACACGATGTGATTGATAAAATGCGAGGGGTTAAATCAGACATGAGGAATAAATTAATTGTTGACCCACAAAATTAATATCAATTAAATCTAAAAGAATGAATTAACGATTTCACGACATTCGCATTGCTTCTGATTTCTTATAAAATGGCATAATTGAGCTTCCCCTCGGCGAAAGCTCTGACTAAGCGATAATCAAAGTACAATTAAGATCACGTGATAATTTAACTGTTCATAGACTGTTAATTGTATCTTTTATACGTGTGTATTCATCCAATTATTACGAGACTCGCTAAAAATATTGATTATCAAAAATATTCGTCCCATTCTAGGATGTTATCATTCGATTCAAATCATCGTGATAATTGCAAGTGTAAATTCTCACTATCATTGCACGATAAATATTGTTTTTTTCTGTTACCCCCACAAAATCCTAATGGAATTAAGGAGATTGTAGATTATCTGCACAGACAGAGGCTTCCATTCTGACGTGCAGAACGATGTTACCCTCCAACGTTTATGAATGAGCACGTGTCACCCCTTAAAAATTCCACACACTCGGAGACAAACAAGTTAACACACTGATGTCATTCTGTTGTTTCTGTCCCGAAATATGCAATAATCAGCAAGAATAGGGATAATTTGACGTCCTATTCCTCTTCACACTACTGTATAGGGAGAGTGGTTTATTGCAGTGGCTGAAAAATGGGGAATTTAAAGAATTTTCTTTCCCCCCAAAATGAGTACGAAAATCCACACATTAAATTTCATCTTCGCCATTTTCATCTCATTCATGCAAATGTGCGTTCTTACAATTCGAGACTTTAGACTCCTCTCAATCTCACCTTCATCTGCACGCACGACAATGAAAGGAAAACCCAGAAATATTGCATTATCACTCACTGAGAAACCATAATGAAATAGAAAATTGTGTATAGCGTGCTTTTTTCCTACTTCTTCTCCTACAACTACAATACAATAAAAAAGCACGAAGAGATATCATCAAGTAAATATTTAAGCTTCACAAAACTAACGAGGATTTTTTTGCACGAAATCACAGATGATGGTGTTGGTGTGTTAATTCTACACATCTGTACATGTCAATTTCCACACAATTCCCACACAGAACATATATAAGAGACGGCATTCACTCGAGGCACTTCAGTGTAAGACATGTTTTCATCGCGACTCAACTTGTAGAGAGAGAGAGAGCTTTTGCCCAACATATTATACAGCATATTCTATTCTTGTGCGCGGTGTTGTATGGAAAATTTCATCAAAAAAAAAGAACAGTGTGGATGGTAAATTGTGAGATTTCGTGACATAAGTGTATCATCGGGAAGTGAAAAGACAATTAGCAAGTTTCTGGGCTGTTGTACAGTCCCGATATCAATTAACAGACAACAGATAAAGAAAAGATATTTCGCAATACTTCGTCTCATCTCTCAACAATATATTATTTTTGGAACATATTGGACGTTAACACAGCAAGATGGATACGAAAGATTTTAACAAGTACGGAAAGGAGATGATTGACTACATTTGCAATTACATGGAGAACATCGAGATGCGCGATGTTGCGCCCAAAGTCGATCCGGGATATCTCAAAGAACTCGTTCCATGTAAGTGATGCATTCTGTCTTACTCGAGAGCTTTACAAAAGACAGCCAATATCAATATTTTGTGAGAAACGTCTGGAAATTGTGATTGTGCTTTAAATACACACCTCATGCAATGATGTTTATACAAAACATGCCGTGAAGTAGCGAAAACATGTTGGAAAAAACGCCCTCAGAAATATCTCAAGAGAGGAAAATACGATTGTATCATTAACAAAATCCGAATACTCAGCATATATACAGATTATACATAGAGTTAAAAAAAAGTATGTTTAGTTGTAAATCGAGTGTGAAGTTCAATTGGACTATGAGAGGCTGAAAAAAGATTGAGAAGAAGTGGTGAAAAGAGGGTGGTAAAAAATAATAAATACACTTTTCATCGCCATGTAGTTAATGTTAAAGAATATAACCACGAAAAGAAATCAAGATAATTTATCAACATGTGAAATCTAATAAAACCTCAATTGCTCTGTTTGCTAAATAAACAATTACAATTTAGATATCAACTGTATTAAGAGAGTGGAAAATTTGTTCTAAAGTCCGGTTCTCTGTCTTTTCTCTCCAACCATCTTTACAGCCGAAGCTCCGCAGAAAGGTGAAGATTTCAAGACAATTCTCGCGGATATTGAGAGCAAAATAATGCCAGGTGTGGTTCATTGGAATCACCCATATTTCTTCGCCTATTTCCCCTCCGGAAATTCCTACCCTTCTATTTTGGGTGATGTTCTCAGCAGCGCCATTGGATCCATCGGATTCTCATGGGTAAGAAGTTAGTTCACGGGAAACTTTCCGATTCTTCTTTCCAAGAATCAACGTTAATTTCAAATTATTTCAATTTCTCCAAAGGCCTCTTGTCCCGCTTCGACTGAACTGGAGACGATAGTCTTGGATTGGTACGCCAAAGCTTTGGATTTGCCAGATTTCTTCATGAGCGACACTCCTGGGAGCAAAGGCGGAGGCGCTATTCAGGGATCAGCATCAGAATGCGCCCTCGTCTCCATGATTTCCGCGCGCGCTCGTGCCATCAAAGAACTCAAAGGGAACAACTATGACATCCACGACAGCGTCTATCTGCCCCAACTCGTGGCCTACGCCTCGCGAGAGGCTCACAGCTCAATTGAGAAAGCCGCCAAGATGGCCATCATCAAGCTGCGCATCCTCGACACAGATGCCAGAGGCAGTTTTCGCGGCGAGACCCTTCGGGCGGCCATCGAGAAGGACGTGAAGGATGGCCTCACGCCCTTCTTCGTTGTCGCCACGGTGGGAACAACGGGAGCGTGTGCCTTTGACAATCTCAAGGAGATTGGGAAGGTGTGCAGAAACTACTCAAACATCTGGTTCCACGTCGACGGAGCGTACGCTGGCAATTCCTTCATCCTGCCCGAGATGCGGCAGTTCAAAGAGGGCATGGAGTACGCGGACTCCTTCAACACGAACCCCAACAAACTTCTGCTCACGAATTTCGACGCATCAGCGCTGTGGGTGCGCGACGTCATGGCCCTCAAGACTGCCCTCACCGTCAATCCACTCTACCTCCAGCACGAGCACGCCAGCGCCATCGACTACCGCCACTACGGCATTCCGCTCAGCAGGCGCTTCCGCTCGCTCAAACTCTGGTTCGTGTTCCGCTCCTACGGCATCTCAGGACTCCAGCAGTACATCCGCAATCACATATCCCTGGCGAAGCGCTTCGAGCAACTCGTGCGCGCCGATGAGCGCTTCGAAGTGCGCAACGACGTGCACTTGGGCCTGGTTTGCTTCCGACTGCGCCAATCTGACGCCACAAACAGGGATCTCCTGGCCCGCATCAACCACTCAGGGAAGTTCCACATGACACCAGCCATGGTGAGAGGAAAGTACGCCATTCGCTTCTGCGTCACATACGAGCACGCCAAGGAAGAGCACATAGGTAAGGAGAATTCATCATGCAGTCATCGTAATACTTTTTCACCCAACTTGAATCATTGTCCGTTCAGAGTATCCATTATAGAATTAACAGTTGAATGAATACAAATTTGTCCATTCAATTTATATACTTCTCACTGGAAAACTACCCAGAATAGACTGCGTCATGAATCAACTGACTTTTCGCACAAATCTTCCTCCACTATTCATGACATCGCTTTGCGAAACATCCATAAAGCCTCAATTCATAGTTGCGCTCCGCACATCATCAGTTCACAGGTCAAATTTATTATTCCTTCACACTGTCAAGTCTATCTCGCGTGAAAATCACACCTCTATTTGTTCTCAGTCTCTCGCCAAGACACACTTTTTGTCCCCCGCCAAATATTTGTCCGCAAGATTCAATGGTAATTTGTCTCCTCTCTTCTTGTTTGGCAAATTGACAGATTACGCATGGCAAGAGATAAAAGCGTTCGCCGAAGAGTTCTGCGAGGCTGAGCATATTGAGAAGCCAGCTCCAATTGCCGCCAAGAAGCCCCACAAGAAGCTCACCAGAAAAGCCTCCGCGAGATTCTCCTTCACTCGCAGTGTCTCCAGAGAGATTTACGAGAGACAGTCCAGCATGTAAGTCCCACTCGAGCAACAGACAAGAGCTTCTGATCCACTAACGCCACCCCTCTTTGCATTCCAGATCAAATCTGCCCGATGGTTGCACACCAATCATTGTCCTGGAGACGGACGACATTCTCAAGAGCTTGCAAAAGGCCACACGGAAGAATTTAGAGACGAAATACGCGGAAACTGATAGTACGGATGAAGTTAGTAATTGAACAACTCTTGCTTCCATTTTTACTTTTTTTATATGACATTTTTTTTCCTTTTTAACCCCTCTCTTTAAGGAGAAACGAATTGTTAAGTTAAGAGAGTGACAGGCAGCTATATTCACGACCATTTCCATGTATAGAAATAATCCTATCATACTTGAGAGCTAATCCTTATTTATTTTATCATGACCGCTCATTGTTCCTCTGTACCAAGTAGGACATTACGTTTAAAAGTAATTTTTTTTTATGAATCGTTCATGTGAGCAGAATATATTTATATTTGTCTGTGTCTTTGACCTCATGACATGTTTTGTTGTAAAAATGAGTGAGAATATGTAAAAGAAAGTTATGTATTCATGCGTAAATTTGTATCAGATGAAGAAGAAACATTGTATGTAATTTGTGTATCAATAAAATATCAGTATTTTAATGGACAATTTTCTTTTATTTAATATTGAATTGATTTACTCTTCAGCGAAGGATTCTGGATTCTCGAATTGGCAAATTCTTGAAGTAACAAACAATTTATCGCTGACTGTTGTTTACATTTTGGTGGAAACACGTGAACCCCCCACCACTGACACTGCTTTTTATTGGTTAGGAAACCGAACTCATCGGATAAGACAAAATGCGGGAAAAGTAAGAAAGAAATCTCACAAATTTCTCTGTAGACATCACTATGGGATACTTATGTACAAAGAGGTGTGAAAATGTATGAATGAAACTCACGGATTTCCTCGGAAACACAGAAAATGCGGCACCAATAAAACACAACAACGCAACTCTACTGCACTTTTTCCCACTAGGGGCGCTGCTCGAAATATCGTCGATATCTTGCGTGGATATCGGAGGGGAAGTGCGTGATATGTAAACAAAAACAAACGTTCCGGTGTACAAGTGGCGAAAGTACTCTGTTTTTAGGGATAATTTGAAAGTATTTAGAGTGAAAGGACCCACCAGAATATGCCTACGTGGCAGCAGATTCAGGCACAGCTGCGAAATGCCAACAATCCCGTCGTTTTCTTTGATGTTTCCGTGGGAACAACGGTGAGTGTTTGAGGTTAATCGTCACAAAGCTCTCATGATTCTCATTTACGGACTGTATTTTCCTCTAGGAAATTGGCAGGATGATTTTCGAGCTGTATGCAGATGTTGTGCCCAAGACGGCGGAGAACTTCCGGCAATTCTGCACGGGCGAGTACAAGAAGGAGAAGGACGGAGTGCCGCTGGGCTTCAAGGGCGCCAATTTCCATCGCGTGATCAAGGATTTCATGATCCAGGGCGGAGATTTTGTCAACGGCGACGGCACAGGAGTGATGAGTATCTACGGGGGCACATTCTCAGATGAAAACTTCAATCTCAAGCACGACGCGCCGGGCCTCCTGTCGATGGCAAACTCCGGAAAGGACACGAACGGTTGTCAGTTCTTCATCACGTGCGCAAAATGTAATTTCCTGGACAATAAGCACGTGGTTTTCGGACGGGTTCTCGACGGACTGCTAATCATGAGGAAGATAGAAAATGTCCCCACAGGACCCAACAATAAACCCAAACTTCCAGTGACGATATCTCAATGTGGTCAAATGTGAAAGGCTGTTTTTCATCAATAAACTTTGCCTGTATTGCTGGTAATAAATAAAAAATTGAATCTACCTAGAGCATTTGGTGTGGTCATGAGCTTCTGTATCCCAGAACGTGACTCTTGATGGCTGGATTGCCGTATCTACACTCTGCTTCCCTGATAAAGGCATCTTCCATTTGTCGCACAATTTGATCGAAGAAAATGTTGGAAATTTGCGAGTGAATGGCAGATTTGAACTCAAAAGCCACGTGAATATCAATCACACAAGACTGTGGGATGTCCTTAAGTCCTCGACTAAATCGCCAGATGGTCAGGAAGTAGCTGAAGAGTCTCCCATCGACGCACTCCGCCTTGATGTACGTGGGCTTCGTCATACTCACGTTTGACGTGTATTTCTCCGTCAGAGGAGGAAAGCCAATGATCAAATCACCCTTGAGGAAGTTCTCTCGTCGTCCGTGAACGTGAGATTTCTTGCACCAAGGCAGGAAGTTCTCATAGTTATCGACATCAGAAACGACACTGAACATCTGCTCTTCGTTGTAGCTGAAAATAGGAGAAAAATCACCTTCAAAATCCTTCTCAATCACTATTAACTATTCCAATTACCCTACGAGTTTCTTCTTTTCGTACACTTTCCGCCTGTTCACGTCGCTAAAGATGAAGAATGGCCTAGAAAAGTGGCGGAAAACCCTGTAATAGGAAAAAACGACCCTGAAATTGCTGCTTTTCAGGTTAAGGTCAGTCATATAAACACACTCTTCGGCTTACTTGTTATCTGATCCTGCAGCACTTGTCCATCCCTGTGTTCTCCTGACACTCCTGCACAAATTCCACGTCCTGCCCAGCATTCCAGGGTGTCCTTTCTGCACGAAAACTCATGAGAACTCTCGGAAAATCATTTGATAAATTTTATAGCAACTCTCGCTCTGACGCGATCAGCTGATTGTCAAACAAAGGCAGAAGTCGTGTTTTTGTGGTGAATTTCAACTGGACATTTTCGCGAAGGATGAAATACCTTGTTTTACCGATATTGTGCTGCTTTTTCTGGTCCTGTGACGCTTCCAGTGGCGATAGGAGTCCCTACTACCAGAATTGCGTGAGGGTTTGTCAAACCTCGAACTGCACACAAGGTAATTTCGCCGCATGAAAACCCGGCATTTTTGGGTGTTGAGCTTTGTTGTCTTGTCAGATGGCTTGGAGTTCCGGAGACCTGAGCTTCAGCCTGTGCTGGAGCACCTCTTGGCGTGGTCGTGCCACGATGAGTGCAAGTATGAGTGTATGTGGAAGACGACCAGAGCGTTTCTGGACCGCGACTGGGGCGTTCCTCAGTTCCACGGTAAGTGGCCCTTCGTGCGCTTCCTGGGACTCCAAGAGCCCGCCTCTGTGGTCTTCAGCATCGGCAATCTCGCGGCCAATCTCTACATGTTGCGCCAGTTCCGCGCCCGCGTGCGACGCGACAGTCCCAACTACTATTTGTGGCTCTGCTTCGGGGCGATTTGCTGCAATTGCTGGCTCTGGAGCATCGTCTTTCACGCACGCGACTTCCCCATCACGGAGCTCTTCGACTACGCCTTTGCGTACTCCATCGTGATCAGCTCCCTGTGCTGCGCCATGCTGCGCTTCCTGCACGCCAAGCATTTCCTCGTGCGCCTCTTCGTGGCCGTCTTTTGCGCCCTGTTCTTCGTCAATCACTTCGCGTACTTGAGCGTCGGTCGACTGGACTACAGATTCAACATGCAAGTAAATGTGCTCACGGGCATTCTGGGTGGCAGTTCTTGGCTCATCTGGTACATTTGCACGCGCAAGACGCGCAAGTACAGCTGGAAGATCCTCGTCTTCCAGATTCTGGCAGCAGCTTCTCTGCTGCTGGAGCTCAATGACTTTCCGCCTCTCTTCTACACATTCGACGCCCACTCGCTGTGGCATCTGGCCACGGTTCCTCTCACGCTCCTCTTCTACAGCTTCCTCATCGACGACTGCATATCACTGAGGCGGGAGAAGTTCGGCAGAGATGACGACATGAAGAAACTGATCTAGTCAAGCCAAAGAACCTTGTGTTTTTAGGATTATACTTGATGTATTCTTAAGTATTCAGTACAATACCAAGAAAAGGTTCATTTCCGGTGAAATTTTATGTATTTGTAATAATTCTTGCATTTAAATGTGGTGTTTAAGTGATTAAGTTGTGAACAATGTATTGTATTCTTGTGGTTTGTGAAATATAGAATTGTAGGAAAACAATGATTTTGTTTAAATGAAATTTGATGGAGATTTCTCGTGATAAAAAGACTCATTTTGCACGGTTAATCAGACTGTTTTTTATTGAATTCTCTCTGGTTTTAATAAAGGGGTCGAATACATTTCCTTGCTGAAACTCTACAAGTGCTAAAGATGCTGCCATTTTCGCTACGATGCTTAATGAGTGTGTTTTGGTGTTGTATTACAAATATTCATTAACATTTATACGTATTATGTAGTGCCTAATAAAAGACTTCTTCTCCTTTTGTTCATCCTTGTCTTCAGTATATAATAGTGATAGGTTCCTCACTAGCAGATTCCTTCTATATTAATCTCTGTTTTTAAGTACAATACGCTTATTGTCACATGAATTCGACAAAAATATAATTATTTCTTCTCTCTCTCTCTTTCTTTGACTCTCTGCCATCGTCATAGAATAACAAGAAATCTTAACAAAACGTTAAGTAAATATTCGAACGGAATTGAGGTGAATTGTAAGGCTTTTAATTAGCAAAACAGGCACATAAGAAATTAAGAATTAATAGGCATTCATCTCCAGTCTTTTTAAAATAGAAAATAAAACCGAGAGATTTATAGAACTAAAGGGAATTTATATACAAAAAATTCTTTTCCCTAGAAAACACTAAACATTTCAAGCTATATTTGCCTCCGTCACACACATTAATCAATCTTCTTCACATTATATTTCGTACAAATTTCATTTTGCAAATTGACACATTGGAAGAAAAGGGTTTCATCTACAGCTTTCATCTACAACTATTTCTCCTTCTTCCCATCACTAAACTTCACGTTCTTTCTCTCTTTATATATATACTTTATAAAAAGGAGGAAACTTTTTCTACGTAAACACTTGATTGGATCTCTTTTATGTATTCAAAAAGTTTCACTTGGCAATATTTTTCATTTCTTAAGAATTGTTCTTTTTTTCTCTTTATTAAAATTTATGTACAAGAAGGTGAAAATTGTTATTGTTTTTCTTTCTCTATATTTTATAGCAAAAAAATTATTATTTTTCTTTTTTCGAAAAAAAAAACAATGAGAAATTCAACTCTTTGATTATTTGATTCTCATTTTTGTATTGAAAGTTTTATTTTATGAGATATTAAAGGTTTTTTGCTCACTTTTCTTTCACATTTTTTTTCTTCACTTGTGTAAAAATATTATTCAGTGTGATTTAGTGCTCTCTAAAAATAGAATCATCTAACATCTAGAAACATTTCTTTAAGCTCTCTCGCAAACACACATTTTTCTTTCTTTATTTTTTCACTACGAAAATATAACATTTCTACACATATTTCACATTTTCTCTCACACTCAGTTACAAAATTATATAATTAATAAATTCTTTCACGTAATAAAATTATCAACATTTCAAAAGAACCATAGTAAAAAAAAAATATGAAAATTCATTTATATTGTAAAAGAAATAAAAATATAAACCAAACTATGAGAAATTCTCTAGAAAGTTTTAAGTTTCAATATTCTTTTTTTCTTTTCATTTTTAAGGTACATTTTCCTGCCATTGCAAAAAGTGAGGCGATCTTCTCAATTAAGCTCAGTTTGATTTACTTGAAATATGTTTTGTGATATATATTAATTTACACAAGAAGAAAACTTATAATTCAATTATGGCAAGTTTGGTTTTCGTCTCTCTTTCTTTTTTTTAGAATCAGATTCAGTGTTTTTCCGTATTATTTCTGCAACCAATTCAGCACAATATTTTGCTATGAAAATTATTTAAGTTCATAATCTTCTACAGCCCAAGCAATTACACATAGTTCTGTGCTACATATAATGCTGAAAAGCCTTTCTTTGCTATTTATAGCTAAGACTGTCCAATCATATTTACTCCTACTAAACACACATTCACTCGAGTGTACTCAGATTAGCAGATTAAACTTCTCAGGAAGCCTAAATCCACACTTTTCCACCGAAATTCCCTAAAAGATTCTGTTACTTCGCATTGCTGTGCAAAAAGTGTTGCAAAACGTCATTCCATTTGCAAAAGAGAAAAACCCTTCTAAATTCTTGTGACTGTATGAACTTGATTATTTAGAAAAAGTTATATGAAAACACTACATTTTTTTTGCCCTTCAGGAACTTACAGTTGTGCTCGAAACTAAAGCAAAATTGATATGGAAATGTTGCGACCTTATTTTGTCAGAAAGCATTTCAATTTTTGGGTGGATTAAGAGGTGTGAAAATAGTAGAAAATGGGGCAGTTTTAAAGGACATGTCTGAATTGAACCTTGTGACCTTTTTCAACATGATTAATGTCATATTCACACGAAATTTCACTCCATTTCTGAAGAATAGAACTGAATAATGTGTCATTTAACCAAAGAAAAACGCTGAAACTTCTTCATTCTGTCATATTGATTAATAATAATCAGACTCAGATCACCAATAACATCTTAAATTCAATGCTTTCTGACCATATAAGAAAGGTTAGATAAATCCATTCCACACAACTGTATTTCTTTGTATCCAGACTTTCTTTTTATGTGTGAATTAAAATGGTAATCATATAAAAATGGAATTCATCCTCTGTGCTTATCATCTTGAGTAAACAGTCATCAACTACGATTCTCTCTATAGAGAATTTGGATTGTAGCATTTATCAATATTATTGTGGTGTCCAAACGTGACAAATCAATTGTGCTGCGCCCTCTTGCCCACCATGTACCCTTGCCAACGCTTCGCCGTCTGCTCAATCACGGGATCCCTGTCAATGGTGGCGAGCAGGAGGAGCTGATTAACATGGGTGGCATGATAATCCCACCGGGCAAGATTCGGGGCAATGCCGAGCGTGAAGTGGCGCAAATCATAACTCGTGCCCGAGCCCGTGTCAAAGAGCAACAGCATTCGCTTCAGCGATGACATGCCCTGCTCAAAGAGCACTCCCGCCTCGGCACTGTGTCCCTGAGGCGCTGTGCAATTGAGATCGTACAGCCCGAGGAGGGAGTAGATGAAGCCATTGAGCACGAACGACGGCGGAGATGTGGGATACTCCTCGTACCACGCGTACTTCCCCAGGAACGTGGCCAACACTCCGCCCTGATACGCCGGCACACGGAATGGCTTCAGTCCGTCAATGGCGGCGCGCAAGAAGCGCGTGTCGCCACGAGAGTGATGATAGGCACGCGCCAGGAGGGAGATTGCATGACCCTGTCCCATGGCTGAGTACCAGCCCACCGGCAACTCAGCAAACCCCGAGCCCAGACGCCGCCTCACGGAATTCGCCCAGCCGCCCGTCGTGGCGTCCTGATGCCGCACAAACCACTCGGCGGCATCGTAGAAGTGGGCAATGTGCTCACTCGTGGACAGGGTGATATTGTCAAAGGAGCCCGCGCCCACGAAAGACAGCCGCGTAATCTTAATCTCCGTCCGGCGCAGCTTGCGTCTCTTCTCGCCCCCAACACTGCCACTCGACGGCACACCCTTCTGCAGATCCACCAGCAGATCTCGCGTCAGATGCTTCCACGGCATCGTGCCATTGCCATCCACTCCCCCCATGCCCAGACCATAGTACACATTCTCCTCCTGCACACTCAGCATCAAATCCGACACGATGTAGTGAATGTGGAAGTCCTTCTTCGTCTCGCGATGCTGCAGCGACACCGTAAACGTACTGTTCACCCTCAGCTGCAGATCCAGACTCAATACCAAGTCCAGCACGTGATCCATTGGCAAGTTCACGGCACTGTCCAAGTGTCCACCGGTGGCAAATTGCACCACCGTGCTCGACACACGCCCATCGAATTGCCGCCTGAACACACTCTCGCGCGGAACAACCCACTCACCACGATACTTATCGGCATCCTCCACCACCTTCCGCCTGGGCTCCGGCTCCGTGAGATTCTTACTGTAGTGCGACAGGCCAAACTGAGCAATTTGCGTGGGATAGAAGTAGCCCTGGCTCTCCCACTGCGTCGAAATGGGGACACCTTCACTCGCCGTGATGCACTTCACGCGATCCCTCATCTGTAAAATAAAAAAGAGAGCATTTATCAGCCAATTAGCCAATGTATCCATAACTATTTAACTTCATTGTGTGCGCACGGACAATCGCCCATTTGCACGCATTAAATTTGCATTCACTGACACAATTTTTATCCATTTAGTCTCTCTCTCTCTCTCTGCTTGTGCGGCCAGGCGACTCTTTTTTTTATTGAGCTTATCGATTCATTTCCAGGAAGGGACATCGCATGAAAGCAGGAAATTACTTTATGATTATTATTATTATTATTTACATTTATGTGCATTGCTTTCTCATATCACGTATGCTTCAAATTGATATTATGCAAGGAAGAAAATCAATTGAGCCTCGAAAGTTCGGAGAACTATGAATAATTCTATTATCATTAGCTTCGGTACAAATTGTCTCTATTAAATCAATTTTACTATGATTATTCCATGTGTGTCGCTTTAAAATTGAATTATAGTCGAAGGACTGATATTGAAATGAGCTGATTTTCTATTATATTTCAACTAATAGCAATGAAAAACCAAATTGATTTTAAATATTTTTGAGCATTTGATTATCATCGAAAATCAGTGACAAAGTGTTTTATATTTTACGCAAATAATTGGCAAAATCGATAAAATATCACTTATTTTTGTGCCAATTCAGCCAAATGAAAACATTATGAATCCTTAATTGGACAATTATTTTTATTATTTAATTATGCTGAATGTGAATATATTAAATTGGGTCAAACGTGCATAAATTATATATATCACAAATCCTGTTTTATGCTGTGCAAAACGATAACGAGGCGCTTGTGTGCTTCCCGTGTGTGGAATTGAAGTGAAAAATCCCCGAAAATATTCACTGTGCGGACGAAGAGCCACAGATGAATTAGATATTCCAGTCACATTCGGCTGGGAAGCAGTGTGGGAAAATGAGTGATTATTGTGAGGTCCTCCGTGCTAAGCTATTCTTGGGCATTTTTGCAAAAATTGCCAATCGAGAGCATCCCTATGGAAGTATTGAATTTCTCAGAGGGCGGTCCGTGGAACGGGGACCATTATCGTGGCATGTCTCAGAGACATTTCCCAGCGCCGTGTCACCCGAACTCACCTCCACATTGTAATTCTCGAAGTACATGAAAATGCCTCTGGGGTCGTAGACACTCTTCGGATAATTGACCTTTCCGTAGCTGTGCGCCCAGTCGAATCTCGTGGTGCCGTCCACGGTGCTGAGGGAGCCGTAGACCTGGGCAGGGAGGAAAAATCGATGAGTATCTCACACTCGGCTGTCGATGCGTCGGAGGGGGGGAGGGTGGGCAACTGTGCAGACAAACGACACAGGCCCACACCCGGAATGGGTGGGTGGTGGGCGGAATGGAATACAGAGATATAACTATTGATCGTGTGTCACCTCGAAGTATTTGTGCAGAAACGAAAAGGGCAAGTAGACCTCGTCGCCCTCCTTCCGGCAGCTAATTGTGTATTCCTGATTAATAAAGCAGTCTATCTCTTCCGTCTGATCCGGCTGCTGCTGTCCTCCTGTCCGGAAGAAAGAAGACAACACGCACACAGTCAGTCTCTCCGCCACAGGACAGCTTCAGGGGCACACACTCACCGGAAAAGGATCTCCTGTCCCACTTGGGCACCAGACTGCGCCCCAGGGCCGAGTCCCCGCACTGTGTCCACAGCGAGAACGTGGCCAGGACGACGAGGCACAGCAGCCCCAGGACGAACTTCAGGTTGAGGCGCATCATGATTGAACGCACTGGGTTTTCCCGGAAAATTCCACTTTTTTGTCCTCAACACCCAAAGCGATTCTGCAAGGGGGGGATGATAAATTAATCACTGCCACAATTCCTCTTGGCTCGCCCCTCGTTTCCCCTCAGCTCCATCGCGGCCACGCGCACCCCGTGGCCACACCGCACGCCCTCGGGGCACTTTTCACAGGAATATCCGGGGGAAAACTCCCTTTTCAGCACCTCACAAGCAATTTTCTTCCTGAGTCTCTAGCAATCAAAAACACTATACCAAACATACGGACGTAGCAAACTGAAGTTTTCACCAGCATTTTTACCATAAACTACACAGAGAAAAACTCCGATTCGCCCTCTCGTCGCCCAGATTTCGCCGCATGACATTCAAACCAACCGACACCTCAATTCTCACACTTTTTATTGTCTCTTTGGGGCGCTACAACTCCCGGAGAAGTCAATACACAACCATTGCTGCGGGATTTCGAATAAATTCAACTGATGAAGGGAATATTCGTCCCGGAAAGGCACATGCCAGCGTCCCTTCATCTCGTGAGCCGTTACCGAGAACATCGGAGGCGCCTTGAGAACCATCTCGCCCTTCGAAGATGATTCCATGCGGAACTGGTGGGTGTGTTGCCACCGCCGGAAGGTACTCTGCAGTTTTTCAGATTCCAGAAGATGCGCATGATTCCGCATGAGATCATTTGAGACGATGCAGCACTGCTTTCCGCTGGCCAGAGCGGCGTACAGCAGAAAGGGATCGTCCTGGGAGAGATTGTGAGTGAGGAAGATCATTGCAGTGCTTTTCAGAATTCTCATCTGCTCCTGAGACCAATTACTTGACGGCTTCCTGCCCAGAACGAGTACTTTCTGACCCTTTCTCGAAAAGTGCATCACAACGTCGATGAGATTCAATGCATTGAGTCCATCAATAACACAGTCAAAGGGTGGCGTCTTGGAGAGAAACTTCCTGAAGTTGTCCAATTCAGAAGGATTGGATTTCACAAAGACATCCTTCCTTATCAGCACTTTGTCTAGAAATTGACACTGCAGCTCATGAAAATCCTCATCTGTGATCTGCACGGATTTCAAGAGATTGTTGCAGGAATTACAGACGCCCTCGGAATTGATAGAAGCGCGCTGGGAAGGAATTCCTTGCATCTGGAGGAACTTTTCCATCTGCTTGATGACATGCTCAGAAATTTGTACTTCGTGAAGAGCAATAAATTGTAGAAATTCCTCCAAATTCTCCCCATGACGACTGCAGAAGTTTATCCAGGCCAGAAATACCTCGCATTTGGGAATCTTGGAGCCATTCACAGTCTGTCTCAGCATTCTTAGTGCGATTTCTTTCTCGTTCTCTCGGAACGCGGCATTGACAATGCTAGTGTATGAGAATAGTGATGGGGAGTATATAGAAATCCCATTCAACAAGTCCAGGCATTCTCTCCATCTCCTGGTCAGCGAGAGCGCAGAAATCACTCCTTCAGTTGTATTAGCGTCGAATTCCGGGAATTTCTTCTTCATACTATCATACACCTCAATGATTTCGAGCTCCTCAACATTCGTGAGAGTCCTGTCACGCGATATGGCGTGGTAAGTCCTCAAGAGATTCGTCAGAGTAGTAATATTCGCTCCTCCGATCTCGGGATTCTTTTCTAGGAACTCCACAAAGCTCTTTGCCGTCTCCAATCTTTTCTGGGTGGCACACAATTTAACTATAGTAGCATCCACATTTGCAAGATTGCTCCTGTTAGCCGTGCTGGATAGCTGGCTTCTCAGACTCCTCCACTGATCAGCTTCCGGATGGAGAAATGCGTCCAGGAAGTCATTAATACTCTTTTCTATTGATTTTCCCACTGAGAACGCAACTTTTCGACGATTGTCGGCACAAAATGTGGTAATTGAGAAACTCTTTTCGTTAACAAATTGACTTCTTCTTCCTGCTCTGAGGATCTTGAGGAAATTCATCTCGGAAACACTGCCGGCACACAAATGAAAACAGAGAAATTTGAGGTTGTGTTGACTGAGAGGGCGCTGTTATCGGGAGCTGGTTGAAAAATTGCGCCAAAATTGCAAACCAGAGCCGCATGAAGGAGAAGCTCAGAACAGTGAAAATGAATGGATTTTAGAATGAAATGCACTAATTGGGCTTAGATTTGCAAAATCAATAAGGTAAAGTCTCGTAAAAAAAGAATTTAAATGGTGAATTTAATCAAACGCGATGTGAAGCTTGAAGTTCTCTGGCAGTTGGCCGAATTCTAAAATGGTGAAAATGTATGTACACCCCTTATCCATTGTGTGATAAAAATTGTTATCATCTACGTCATTATGAGAACTCAAGGTCAAGTGGAATGATTTAATTGTTCGCTCTTTTCGAGTAAATCGCGTTACACATCAGAAGAGTGTACAAACGATGAGTTCAAAGATTCCGTCTTGGCAGATCTCCTTAAAACTTCAGTGCTTGCTTCTGTGCAGTGGTGAATATGTTGATTGTGTGACATTTGAACACGCGCCGCGCGGCGAATTTATAGCAGACACGAATTTGAATGGCGCAACGGCGCGAGCATGTGGGTGTTATTCACCACTGCTTGGGGATGGCATGGCTCGCCATAAACAATGGGGAGTAGACTTTCGCCAAAAATTCGCCCGTCCCTATGGCGAAAATCCGTGGAATATCCAATGGATAACCATGGACGATTTCCAAGCTATCCGCGTAATAGCATCCATGGAAAATTCCTCGGAACTCCGTGGATCAACAAGGAAAATCCTTGGATTCAGCATGGAAGATTCCATGCTGAATTCCATAGGAATTTAGCTAGGATGATTTTCCATGGATTATTTCCCACATTGCTTCCAAATTTTCCATGGTGACTTTTCCCATATATGGAAGATTTCCATTGCGATTCCATTGACCAATCCAAGGACGATTACAAGGAATACCATGGAGGAAATTCCAATGTGTGAAATTTCTCCCAGAAATTCCCGGCGCTCCGCCCCAAAATATCCAAAAAAAGACTCATTTATATTTGGATTTTTATTTATTAAATATTAACTATCAAGCTTACAAATGTGTATCAAATTTTTATGACGCGTTGCATTGGTGGCTGCTATGCCGCTTCCCAGGGACTGCTACTCTTCTAGACGACTGCTACCGTGGTCGCCGGATGTCGAGATGCTCTTTGATGTCTTCTCGCACCGGTCCGGATATGTTTGAAAAATGCTGGAAAATAGAATACACTAATTACTGATCGTATATTTGCATGGTATTCCTTGTAATCGTCCATGGATTGGCCAATGGAATTGCAATGGAAATCTTCCATATATGGGAAAAGTCACCATGGAAAATTTGGAAGCAATGTGGGAAATAATCCATGGAAAATCATCCTAGCTAAATTCCTATGGAATTCAGCATGGAATCTTCCATGCTGAATTCCAAGGATTTTCCTTGCTGATCCACGGAGTTCCGAGGGATTTTCCATGGATGAATTTCTAGCATGGAAATCTTCCATGGTTATTTATAGGATGTTCCATGGATTTTCGCCATAGGAATTTGAGAACATGAAGAACATTTTTTACCTTGTCATGAGTCCACTCTGTCGGATAAGTAGATCCTCCGGTAACCGCTTTTCCGCATCCTATTTTCCTGTAAAAAAGACATGTTCAGTATAGAAAACAGGATATATCTCTTATGTTTCGGTAATTCCATACTTACATTGGTTGTTTCTCCTACTTTGACGTTGTCCGGAAACCTCGAGTCTTCTCTGACTGTGGGGTCCCTGTGCCGTCTCCATCGCATACATTCAGCACTTTTCCTGAAAATATCACCAAACTTAGAGTGTTTACCATTAAAAACTTAACGTTTTAGTACTGAAAAGTACAGAAAAATACTTACGCGTTCTTTCCTATGAGAAGAATTTCACAAGACTGACGTAATCGCGTGGGGACGCGCAAAGAGCGAATTATTCCGTGGAAAACCCATGGATATTCCGCGGATTTATCACCATGGAAAATATTCCATTCTAATATCCATGGATGGCCAAAAGGAATATATATGGAATTATTCCATGGTATCTTGCTTGGAATAAAGTGGAATTTATCCATGGAGGATAGCTTGGAATTCCGAGGATTTTATTCCTATTATAGGAAGAAAAGTGGAAGATATTCCATGGACGATTTCGGATCGTGGAATCCGTTCTCCATAGGGGTGTCATAACGTGTGAGAGGGTGCTTTTCACCAGAAAGATTATATAACAACAGAGTGGTGGAGTTGACTTTTTAGTTTCTCGCTTAATTGAATTACAATTCCCTTTCGTGGACGACAAGATCCGGGACTAGTTCTTTTGGACAAATGGAGTTTAATCAGTTGTGCACGTGCCCCACCTGCCTGTGGTAGCGCCCGTTGGACGGACACGGAGTTCAGGAGGGCAGGACAGGCCACCCTCCCCGAAGGCCTCCGTCGCGACCTGGTGCGAGGGGCTACGCAAATTTACCTCGAAGAAAATCACGGTGGTGGTGCTCATTTGTCGTCGTCGTGGGTGGAAAAATCATCCAGCAATTCCGGATATATTCATCGCATTTCCTTGGTCGCCGCAGGAGAAGATTGAGCAAGTAAGGAAAAGGCCCTCTTTCGTAATCAAAAAATACACCCTCCCTCAGACGCGCCACCTGCTTTCGGAGGCTCTCTGGTGGGTGAGGTTGCTTCAGCACGATTTCTGCGATTTCTTGCTGATTTTCGGCGTTACATCACACACCCACATATCCTTTTTTTCTCTCCTCCGCCTGGCAGAAAAACCGTCTCTTCGCCACAATTGCAGGATAATCCCGGGGCTCAGGCGGCCCCCATTGGGACTCCCCTCTTCCCCACCCCCTTCCTGCTGAACGCAATATCGGCGCCACCCCACGAGGCCAGGCCGCCCTGACCCTCTCTAATTCACTTCCTGCTCCCGACTCCCCGTGATTCCTATCACAACTTCTCCGCCACGATGGCTCGGCGGCAGAGATTGGATCGGCCGCCCATGCCAATATTGGGGCCGAGCGGGGTCGGCGCAGGAAGGCCACACATACACCTGGCCCGATACTGTGCCATGGTGCTGTGGATATGGATTAAATATTAGCCGCTGGTGTGGGGATTCATGCAATCAATCGAAAAGCACACTCTGACGACAGAATAATAGATCCTCTCGCCTCTTTTTCCGCCATCTAACCCAGAAAGCACCGTCTGAGAGAGCTCCTTGTGGGGACACGAGCTAATTGCACGCCTCAAACATTAATGCAGCGCCTGAAGCGTGCGGTTTGTGCTGAAACCGGGCCAAAGGGCCATGGTTTCTGGCAAGGATTCCCCGGAAGCACGGCTCTTGAGTCGTTAGGACTCTCGGCAAAAAAAAAGTCAGCAAAAGACAGTAAATTAATTACCAGCTGTGCTAATTTTTCCGATAAGAGAAATATTATGCCAAAAGATTCTCTAATTTCTTTCCTGTGGTGCCAAGCAATTAGTTCCTTTTCTAGGACAAAAAACAGACCTTTTGAATAGATATTTTTCGTGAATTGGAATAGTTAAATTGTTTATTTTCCAGTTTGCTCTCAGCTCATCTTGATTTACATCTGGAAAAGCTTCCAAAAAGCCTTTGAATATGAGGAGGAAAATAAGTAAAATGGTCAGGTTATTGCTGGGGTCAGAAATATCGGGAATTGACCGAGAAAACAGAGGATAGAAATTGGATATGACTTAATTTTGCATGAGACCAGCAATCTCTGTGCTTCTGCAAACAGCATTTCACCCCCTTTTCACGAACATAGCATGCAATTACGCGGATTTGCTGGCAAAAGGGCAGAGAAGAGAGGGTTGTATTGTTCATTTTTAGCGTGATCTCGATTGTCGGAGGAAAGAAAATGTGAAACATGAGAGGTATAAGAGGAAAAGCTGAGAAATATCATCCAGCGCTGAATGTAGAATGCACTTTCATTCATCAAATGCTGTGTTTATGACGAGGGTTGGCTGTATATAGAGTGTTTTTCGATCGATATCTTCATTGGTGAACGCAATCTGGGTGATGTCATGAAGTCACTTGAGCGCAAAATGTTGCTTGTCTTAATCTTCACTCTCTGGGAAGAATTGTAGCAATATTGAAAATGTGTCTTTAACAGAGGGAAAGCTTGACAATTACATAATGTTATATGTGTTCTCTGAGAAAAGGGATTAAATTAGTAATAAAAGCTTCCAGTGCATTCGTAGTCATAAATTTGGGCAAATTTGAGAAAATACAGCTTCACCATCTCAATTACAAATCTGAGTGAATTACTTATTCCACACAGAGAAATATATAGGGTCACATTTAGTGTGATGTTAAGTCATATACAGAACATTAGCCAAACTAAGAAGGTTATTTCAACACTCTGAAGATTACAAGTCAAAGCTTCCAGTGCTTTGAGATTGTAGCTTTTGATTTACTCTCGTGAGTTTAATTAGTAAATTAATTCTTGATTTAAATAAGGAATACTTTCAAGAATATATGAAAATGTTACTTATTAACGATATTTGTGAGGGAATCACTTGAGCGAAGCGAAGAACTTTTTCGGAGTCTGTGCCATGCGCGTGAGTTTGCGAAACTATACACAATTCTGGGGTAGCAATTATTCCGCAAATCCTCCAGAGAGTGAGAAAAATCATGTCAGTAGAATATTAAAGTAGATTTCAATGTGAAATGATAAACCTTTTGACTTTTCTCACTCACGCTCTCCCTTCGCTTCTGTTTCATTTAATTTCACCACTGCTGGCACTCGCCTTTGCACGGTAGCCACTTTTTTTTCCTCCTCTTCCACACACATATTTATCTACATGCATACATATATATGTGAATGGTGAATCCACAAATCTCCAAGCCAAGGGAAAATTCATGTTTGCGTGGAAAAGAGATGACACGGAAAAGAGGAAAATACCACAATATTCGGAGAAACCCACCCCGGATGTGAGTGTCTCCGTGGCCGTGAGCATTCATCCTTCGCCAACCTGGCGGATGGCATGAGACAGGAAGGTCTTTACCAGATGAAATATGCGTAATTGCTCCTCGTGAAATTGTGTCGATTGCGATGGGGGGGCGAAGGAGAATTGGAGACTGTGTGTGTGCCGATCGAGTGGTAGAAGAAGAAGAAAAAATGAATTGCTATCTGATGGACATCGCTGGCTGAGTGATTCACAATCGCGGACGAAGTATAACCGCCAGTAAATAGTCGTGTATAAATTTCACGAGGAGGGTAAATGTCATTAATCACAAACACTCTGGGCTGTGGAGTTTGCCACCCTCTTCCACCCCGTCTATTTTGTCTCTTTCCGCACCCTCCCCCTCGCTCCCTGTATCTCTCCACACCCTCATCATCTCGCCATTCTTGCCGAGACGCCGCAGCGAGAGCGCCGAGGCATTGAGTGTGGGGACATATTGTGACGCAAATGATGACCAACATATTGCTAATATTGAGGAAGGCACACAATCAGGAGTCACGTGACAGATGAGGGGATTTCCTTCTGAGTTTGAAGTTGAGACGAGTCGGAAATTGGGGAAACAAACTGGCATTATCAGGTTGTGCGCCACACTATCAGTGGACGTTGAAGAGATATGCATCTCGGGGGTGGAATAGGGTTAATCTGTCATTCCTGGGTGAATGTGGGTGCATGTGTGGCAAATGAACTTAATGAAGTGCGGGAACTGCGTATGAGTGTAGATATCCAGAGATGTATAACTTTCCCCAAATTTTCCATCTCATGATATTAAAAATCTATAACGAATGCTATGAGATTTACTGGAGCTTGCATGGTTTGATTAAAATCTGCAAATACATACGCTATATATCGATAATAACACATTTTCCATGGGATTATTCCATTTCCCAGACCTCCACGATATGCTATATTTCACTCCACTTTCGAGTCCAACACACAGTGGAGCTTTAGAAGAATGGGAGGAAAAGCGATTTAGCCTTAACAAATCAAATAAAAGTATAAAATTGCTGGAGTGGCACATGAACCCTCATGGGAAAGGTGCAGAGAGGTTATATAGCTTAGAGGGAGTGAGGGAAAAAAAACGAGAAGAAACTCAACACAATTGAGCTGAATGAGTGAGTGTAAGATGTAAAAATAATGATTTCCTCAAGTGGCGGACTCTTGGTCTCGAGAGGAGTGATGCTCAGAGGGAGAAAAAAAAAGTATGGGGGATTGTAGAGCTTAAATACATTTGTGCTGCATAAGGTGGGAATTGTTGTTTGTGGGCTCTTGTGCTGCGATGGGGGGATGTGCAGGAAAAGGGGCAGTCACGAGAGTGGCATTGGACAGGCCCCTTCGGGGTAGAAATAAACAGAGAGCAGCGAGCAAGGTGGAATTCCGAATTGCCCATGTGAAATGCACTGGAGAAGAGAGATTGCGCTTCCTCGGGTGACCCTGTGTATGGGAAATGGGTGAGCATGGTGAGAGTACATGTTATCCTGTCACTCCTCGGAGATTGTATGCCTTTCCTGTGCATAAATGCAACATTCCTTACCTCTTCATTGGGAATTGTGGAGAGCCGCATGTTAGCCATGGCGTTAGAAGAAACGAGCGGGAATTGATTTGCACGGCAATTTTCTTATAAGGTGTTCAATAGAGTAAACACTTGTCAATCATTCGTGCAGTAACTTGAGCTGGTAATTAAGTTACTTTGGTGTCTTTACTTCCCTGTTCACTTTAAGAAATTGATTTATTTGCTTGAAAAATACATTTTCTTCGATGGTGATTTCTTTGTTTTCTTTTCTTTTTTTTCCTAAGTAAAACAACCACATATAATTAAAGAGAGGGAGAGAAAATTAGGGCGGTGAATGAAAATGAGCAGGTAGAAAACCTCTTAAGTTGCTAATTTTCCGTCGTCTACAAGTAATTTTCCTGTGGCAGAGACGCTATAAGGTTCTCCGCTTTGAGTCTGTGCGAAGAAGGTTGAAAATGACAAACGAACAAATGTGACAAAATTATATATGTATTCATTTGAATATCCAGGCAAAAGCAATGACTGAGCTTTTGGAGGAAAGCAACCACTTATGAAATGAAGAAAATTATTCCCGTACATTTGCCACTTTGGGGAGGGGGGAAATGAAAAGGGAATTACGCAAAATTTTAATAATATAATGATCGTCTGTGATGTAGCAATATGTTTATTTGATGGGTGAATATTCTCTTCCACTTACCCTAGATGAGGTCTCATTTTGTACAAGGGGAGAAAAAAAACTCACATTTTTCACTTCATCCGTCCCGCAGGAACTTCATCTCATATACTCTAAATTTCATTCTTATGAGTTGTGATTAAATCAATTTTTCTGCTTCGCAGCAAGAGGAAATGAGAAATGAATGAAAGTGATATGTTTAGTGTTGCGAATGGTGGCAATTACAGTAAAAGCTTTTACCATTTTCTCTCTTTTTTTCTCCTTCACAAATTCATTTTAGCAGGACAAGACTATGCACAATCTGTTTACACTCCTCTGCTTTTTTTTTGGCACGCCATGAGATCACAAGGATAAACCGAAAGGCATAAGCACATGTTGGCGAAAAAAAAGAGTTTTATGCAAAATTTTGCTCTAAATTGTGTATGAAAGCTCTAGAGTTTTCCATATGTTTTCCGAGTAAATTAGATCTTCTACTAATTCATAACAGTGTCACGTAGGAAAGAGTTTATATATGATTTTTTTTTTGTTATGAAATAGGTGTAAATAGGGGTAGATTAAAATTTTTCGGACAGGCAAAAAGCTTTTGCTTGTTGTGGAGTAATGAGAAAAGCGAATGAAGGTTAAAAGGGGGTATTTTGTGAACAAAATATTGATGAGCATCCTTTTAATCTATTATTTCGTTCGATAATAATTTGTTATGAAATGATAATGATAAGGAAATGAGATTTTTTCTGTGTCAATTACGTAGGGAGAAGGAAATAAGTATAAAGCTTTATTCGTTGTTATTTATTCCAATCATATATGTGGTATTAATTGTTTGAAATTATCATTTCATGTATTGACAAACATATTAATGTTTGTGCGAATATTCTGCACTCTGAAACTGAGCTCAAATGAGGTTTTCATAAAATATGAGAAAGTGGTGCATTAGATTATGCTTCAGTCCTCGAAATACATATGTAGTGCATTCAGAAATACTAAAACAACCACAGTTTTCACTTCAATGAATATGAAATTGCAGTTAATATTTAATATATGGATTTTGTGGTGTGGTATAAAGTCAAACATGATGAAGTATATTAAACTTCCTCATAAAATTTCCTCATGTGATATACACTTGAACTGTATAGATACATTTGGATTTCAACACCCATTTTCCACATTAACTATTTTCCTCCTCAATGTATGTATAAACTTCCGAGAGTGGATATTCGTCACTAGTGAATATTTGATGTGATATAAATTTGAAAATAAATCATGATTTATTGACTTGCATAGGAGAGAAACTCTTTAGTCGCTCCTCAGCCTCGACAGAGTGATGGTTTGTGAATAGAAGAGTGCTTTTTTGTCGCTTTACAGAGACATTCTATTCTCACTGGTGGAGGAGCTTAGAGTGTGTGTGGGGTTGGCGAATGAGGGGGGTGAAAAGAGTGGTGCACAGCGACAAAAAATGAAATTGTGATGCCTTGCATCATCGTATCGGCGTCATCATTGGCGCCGCATGAGCAGACATCTGTCACAATATTTAAGTCAATAAAGTGTCACCTACTCACGCAGTGAACGGGCTGAATATATATATAGGTGGAGGAGTACTTTGCAGAGGGCGGCAGGGAAAGAGTGCATATAAGCCCATGTGTTTGTGAAGGTATGAAAAGCGCCCTCGACAGCAGTATGGATAAAGTGTGATGGGCAAACACATTCTATATCGTGTGACTTGTGCCACTGCAAAAGGGGTGGAAGGGTTTAAGTGTAGCCCGCACAAAATTGTGACACATAACCGAGAATGGGATGGCATAGGGGAGAGCAGGATTTTGAGATAGTGAGATTTTATCACTTTACTTATATTTTCTAATCTCATAAGGATGAGCCAAATCGATACATTTTGTGGAGCCAATGTCTTTTATTTTTTGAACTTTGACAGGTGCAAAATTAAAGTTTTAAATTCTCATGATGTCAAAGGGGTGCAAAACAAGTCTGCTCCTCCCCAGAGCGCACAGAGTGATTGAAATATTCGCGCCACTAATAGGAGTCATACGAGGCATACGAGGCATGGTTATGTATACAAAACAGCCAAATATGAGTGGAGGAGAGGAAAGTCTAGGATATTTTGAATTGCGTTGGACAGATTGAATGAAATTATATCGCAAAATGCTCTATATCTCATTGACGTGACTCGAATGTCAGATGTACAATGTGGTGATATTCGATTTTAAACATCCCCCAGTCTGTGTGTATGCAAGAAGAAAGACATTTTCAAATGGCAGCAGGATGATAGCGACAGAGCAACGAGTTAATATCGAATACATTGGTGTGCAATCAGGACAATTGGATGCCGTCAAAATGTAGCGAGCGATCGGTTGGAATGTTCCTCAACTCCCAGCCTATCAACTGTCAATATTTCGTTGTAATTCTACCATTCCATTCATTGCACACCTTGCATACACACAGTCTTGTAATTTCTCAATGAGAAGGAACCACACCTAATTACATTGTAGACAATATGCAGTGCTTGCTTGTGGTGAAATATTCACTGACATCAGCTTTATATGGGAAAATAATTGAACATCATATAACATCAATTTTGTGAATTTTCACATGGGGAGAGTTACCGCAAATATCTCCATGTATTTTGTTTCATGCAAAATTCAATGATTCACCCTCCTCATTAGTGTAATTGACACACTATCATTATTTATTTAGCATCTCAATGGGGAGAGGAAGTGTGCTGCAAATTCGACATTATGTACATTTCTAGGTGTTTGGATATACGAGCTAATGGGGACAGGATGTCGAGCTTTTTGCTCTCTCCGGTCAAATGGCAGAGATAAAAGGTTTTTTGATTGATAACTCTTATGCAATATTTTATGTGGAGGGCCAAAAATTATTTTAATGGAATCGAAAAGTTGAGGACAATGCATTTGCTATGCTTATTTGAAGGTGTGTGGGCTTGAAAATTGCCAATATTCTCAATGAATTTGAAATTACTAACCGTTCAAATAATGTGTACTCGTCCGCGTTCCTGGGTATTCTTCTTGTCGCTCGTTTCTCCTTTCACTGGGTGTTCTTTATATACATATAACAATAATGACGATGATGACTAAACACATTTCAATTGAATATAAAAATTCAACTGTATATTTACGATGCGAACGAATAAATTGTGGTGTAAAAGGGAAGAAGAAGGAGAGGGAGAAAAAAAAATATTTGAGAGTTTTCATTCTCTCGCCAGACGACGTACGGAGAATGGTGGAAAAAAAGTATTCTAATTTCTTCCTCAATTGACTAAATATTCATATTATACATGTACTTCGATATATACGCACATTTTTCCATAATAATGTTTGCATGGCGAAGTGAAGAATATTGCAAGATGTGCTGTATATGAATATTGTACTGGGGAGGAAAGTGGTTGATGTAAAAATGTGGAGAATATCGCTTTCACTCCAGTAACCACTTAAGAGTGAGCGAAATGGAGGAGAGAAGAACATCGCATTTTGTACATGAAGATTTCGGCAAAATCCTTTTCTTATTTCACATCTTATTCTGTGTTAGTTTAGATATTAGATGCAATACTCACTGTGAGTATAGAGAGTGAGGGAATTGGCTCAATGTGAAAGCGAAGGAAAATATAGGAAGCATATATACATAGTGGGAAGGCATGGAGAACTCTGGGAGCGTAGCTTTCTCATAAATTTTGCAAACGGCCCAGTTTTCCCCTTTGCATTGAGCAGGTGTTAATTCATCGAAATAAGGATTGCAATTGGGCGAATAAAGATCTTACGGAAATCCGTGTGGGAAACACATATTGGAAAGGAAAGTGTGGGAGAGAAATTAGCACATGCTGAGAGTGCTGAAATCACTGAACTTTGGCATCTTTCTTCCCAGCATAAAAACTCCTTTAACCCTCTTGTCAGTCATGGGTTGGATGAAAAATGACGCAATTACCTCGAAACAACTCATTTGTGCTAATTATTTTTTTCTTCTCCGTCCTCTTTCTCTCGTTTCAGGTAATGCAAATTCGCAGGGAAGGAAATTAACTAAATTATGCCTTTCAAGTATATTCAGAGAAGAGTTAGCGGACCAGGCGCTTATGGAACAATTCATATTGACAATACGTAAGTTGAACATTTTCCTCTTTCTCTCTATTTTTTTTTCACTATATTTATTTAATAAATTAGTTGAGGAAAAGTCTCGTTTGCAAAATTTTAATGTTTCTGTGTAATGTGTGATAAAAAATTATGAAAATATACTTGATGTTGCTCCGCCAAGTTCATACTTTTCTTTCATTTTTTAAACATTATAAAGTGTTTCTATATGTAATTTGTAATTCAAGCCAAATTAATTGCCAGTTTAAAATTAATTGAGTAATTTACATATGCAATGAGACATTTCATTATTACATACCTATATTCCCCTTTTTTTATTGTGTCACTCCAATAAATTTGAATAATTATTCGGGATGCGTTTTTGACCCTTTTCAATTTTTTATGCCACCCTATAATTGCATTTTGTATAATGTCCACATAATTTTGGGGCGATGATAGCATTGGATGTTGAATAAATGTTGATTCTGCAGAAATAAGAATGACATTATGTGGGCAAATTAGAATAATTAATTTGCATTGTTCACTCTGAGGGTATCGAGCGAACTTGATTGTTATTGATTTAAACGAGCGCAATTTCATTAAAATGGGTATCTTTTGTCTATAGGAGACAATATAATTATATGATTTTCCAACTTATATGTACATATTACACAGCTTTTCCTACTGTATGCGAAATGGCCTAGAAGTAGGTGGGCGACTGGAGGGTAATTTGAGGAATTAGTGGGCAAACATTGTGCGATTTGCAGATTTGGGGATTCCGCACTGATATCTCCTCCAGTTGTTTATTCACTACATTTATTCATAGATTGTAGAATGGTTGCAAAATTCTGCTCCTATCTAGGCATTATGCTAATATCTGTATAAATGTTTAAACAGTAATCTTTACGAGAATACATATATTTAATGATTTATTTATAGTTTCTACAGTAGTCGACTCACATTTAATGACGTTTACTGAGTCGTAGCACGAGAAATAGATATAATAAATATATTGGGATAATTAATTTAGTGTGGAAATACCACATATATTTTGCTTCTTTGACATATACATGATTAATATACGGTTTTAGTTCCTTGAATGGTTAATGTGAGGAGAGATGTGTTCATCTTATGTAACAACGCTCCATCTCTCTCTCTCTTTCTAGCACATTTTAAGTGCTTTAGGCCACACTAATGTAGTGAAGATTAATTTAAATAAAATACAGGTTCTCTTCATTTGGAAAATCAGTCCATGGTAATTTCAATAGAAGCATTAATACATAATATCATATCATGTGTGCTTATTTATTTCTATTCAACCAACAGTAGTAATAAGTCATTTTGTTCAATGAGATGAAATTAAATAATGTCAATGTCATTAACATCTCTTAACGTACATAACTTGGTGTCGGTATTTCTCAGCATATTTATCTTGTACATCTTATACATATGCACAAGACGGTATTTCTTCTCCCTTGAATTTAATGTGAATCGATTTTGCGCTGAAAAGCTTTAATCACCATTTGAATTTTGGGAAATAAACATGCTAATATTTATTCAACGATGAATTTGTATTTTATTGAATCTTTCAATAAAGACGAATAAAAGTGAAATAATTTCTTTCCAAATTTAAAATCTTTATTTGAAGCTTCGAGAAAAGTATATTTTTTTGAACGAATAGCGGGAGGGAGATTTTATTTCATTTGGCAAGGGGAAAACTATATAATTATTGTAATGAAAATTGATTTTTAATCAAATTCTGCAACATTGTGTTAATTATATTAATCTAGATAGACACATAATTGTATACGTGGAATATTGGGTTTGGTTTTTTCGTCCGGAGACAGAGAGTAATTATATAAAAGCCAATGGTTTAGCATAACTTGCTTTTAGAGCTCAATAATCCTCTCATTTGCAAATGGATTACAATTTTTGTGGCTCATATACACATAGTTGCGAATATTATTTTCATACCATGAGAATCCGCAATGTTCATTGTTTCGCAGAAAATGGCATATCATCATGAAACCTCTGCAATTGTCCATCCCCTGTGAAATGAGAATTAGCCTGTGTGTTTGCATACAAAGTGAGAATTACTGGTCGTGGTTAGGCTGACTATTGTTATGATTATTTCTGCAAATATTGTTTTCATTACACTCTCCCTTCCAGAAATTCTTTCATAGCTGGGCGTTTATTCGTGTGCCCTTCTTTGACTACAAATTATGCTATTACATAAATGGGATGAACTAGTAACAGAGTGTAAATGGTGCAATTAAGCTATTTAAGAACATTTACATGTGCATATGCTTTTGGACGGTAGAACTATATATTTCATTGCGAGTGTTGAGAAGGACGAAAAGTTTGCCGTTTAAATGTCATCATAAATTGTAACTCATTACTTTAACTGTAAATAACAATGTATTTTCTTCTTCTCATACTTCTTTATATGATTTTAATGAAAATATTTAGTTATGGAAAATATTTAATGTAAGCCAATTTCAATTATTGGATGCGACGCAGCACAATATTGAATTATTCTTCTCCATAAAGACATAAAGAAGAAGCGGGAAAAGGTAGAGATATTGTATTAATAAACTGCCATGAATCATATATATATATAGAGTAGTTTCCCATTTTCGCAATATGTATCTTTCTATTGTTCCTAAAATTAAAACATATCAACTCAAAATTCTTCCACCTTTTGCTCGATACTCTGAAAATTCTCACAGTAAATAATTCTTTCTCTCTAACCTGCCTAAATTGCAATATAACATATATAACAATTTATCCACTAGAGGTTATTATTCAATTCAAAAGCACTTGAGCAAATTTATACGTTGACTCAAGTGTGGTGCCTATTCTTCATAGATAACGATTATATTAGATTGTGCTCAAGATCTTTCACGCCTATTCTATCACTTTATACTGAATGCTCTTTTATTGTTCCTATTTTCTCACTGACATTCTGTATTCTCATCCAGTTCTTCTATGTTATATTTCTTCATATTATTTCATTAAAAACTGGGGATAGAGTGCGTGTAGTGGTAATAAATGTGGAAAATACTGAGAAAATTGCATGACTATTTTATTTATTTACACATATATGTATGTAATATGCATACCATTTTTAGGGAATCTCCAGGGACTGTTCAAAATTACCTTTCTGATGATATTTGTCGACAGTTTACATATTATTGGTTGACGTCTGACTAAAAAAGTATGTTTAACATTTCATATGCGAGTCAATAGACCTTCACGCAGTGAAGTGAATTAATAAGTAGATGAAAGAGTAAACGAGAGAGTGTATAGTGTACAAATGTGAAGGACCAAGTTTACTTTCGCTTTAATTTCGATTCCAATTTTCCGCCACTTTGCCTCTGTGAATTTACCTAGTCACTCTGAAGTGAAATGGCGAGAAAAACAATTACAAACTGTATCCTCAAAGCCACAAGGCAGCAAAATTGTTCTAACTGTGCGAAAATACACATCCACATTGCGAGCTTCCCTCGAAATGTGTCATTCGATTTAGAATGGCCGTACTATATAGAGTGAAATTGCAGTGTTACTTTGAAATATTCTGAAGACGCTTGTTTTTTTTTTTTGACTCTTCACGTTACTTCGCATAGGGATTATGTATATATACATTTATAATAAGTAGGTTTATAAACAGGGATTCACTCTCGACCTCTGTGTGGCGGGGATGTCTCATAAAATGTCTCAGTGAAGCTTAAAGGGTAATTAGTTAAGAGGTGAAATGAGGTGTATGATGTGAAGGCACTTCAAGAGGCCAGATGAAGTGGCGGAGAAAAAGGAGTGAGGACTTTAGTTGTGTCCTTTCCAAGTGTTATGCATTTTCTTACTGCCAACAAGTTTACACAGCCAAACCACATGTTAGAGCACATCGCGAAGATCCCATACACTGTGTGCTTCTCTTTTCGGAGGCGAGCTGCTTTATGGCAGGAACGCAATGGGGTTGGGGGCGCCATGGTATTTGTCGTTGGGGTTGAGCTCAAAGGGTTTCGCTCCTTGCCATCATAAAACACTGGAGAGTATGGCTAATGAAGTTCTCCACACCAGTGGCCCCAACATATGATACAGAGAGAGAGAGAGTGGGTGCCAAATTTCGCTTTTATAGCTCTCATTGGGGTTGGGTCATAAAAGGCGAATAGTGGCAAGAATGGTGTAAGTTTTGTATACTCATTGATAAAAGGAGTGCGAGTGTGAGAAGGGATTATTCACAATGAAATACAAATACTCCAAGTTGTATTTATATTCAATGCTTGTGAAGTGTGATAAGTCGATTTTTTTTTCTCTTTTAGTTTTCCAAAGAAAGTTTTTCGATTCGCGCAACAAATTTTTGTATATTTGAAGTTCTCGTGAGCACTTTCATAGACAGTTGACTGTGATTTCTCAGAAATGATTTTCCAATAGCTTGAATTTTATACAGACATGCTGAATTTACAAACATTCCACATAAATCGCTTCTGTCAAGTCACTTGGTGTATGGTTTTGAATGTTCTGTTTCTCCGGATTGTGGAAGTTTAAGTTAAATATACCGAGACAATGCCAACATAGTTGTGAATGCCTATCGACTTTTAAGTAGGATTTCACAAGTTCAACAAAATTTCCATTGATTCAAGGCGCAAATTCTTCCAAGAAACCATCATGATGCTCAATTAAAATGCGATCTCTTGAGAGCTTTTATCCACGTTGTCGCTTCTCAAGCTTCCTCTCTCTCTCTTTCTTTTTTGCCTATTTCTTCCATTCAGCCGTAGATTTAATCAGGCATGACGGAAGATGATATTCATTATATGAATTTAATTGACAATTAAATTCGCTCAGTCACTATAAGCGAGTCTATGGAAAACGGCGAGTGGGAGAGAAAGAGAGAGAGAGAGAAACAGAGAAGAAAATGTACTTCGCGAGAGGAGAGACTGTGTGGAAATGAGCGAAAACATGGTATGAAAACGTGTGCGCGCCGAGAGATGGAGGAAAGAGAGAAAGTATAGATGAAATGCTTTGGTACATGC